CAGACTCGATTATTTTAGAGACCGCCGCCATATAGTTGGAATATTGGCTGGAGTGCGGTGTTAAACAACCAACCAACAACCAACGACGTCAGGGGTCTACAGGCGTGCAAGTAGAGCGTTTTAACGTTGTTCCGAGGTGAAAGTGTAATTGTATGGGGTGGTATACCATACATCGTTTGAGATTATGTTCCTACCTTTAAGCAAAAAACGCAGGGACTTCTTGAGGTTGTATAATATTGCTGTGGAGCTATGACCGGCCGTTTCTCCAGAACTCTCCACATGCATTGTGACATATCTGGGCTGAATGAGTTAGTGAATATGGTTTTACGCTGCATTTAGCAATGTTCCAGAAATGGACCAGCATTCTTGAAGGATGGTAGGGTTAATTTGGAAACTTCCAAGGTTTTCTTAATCGGAAGTGCGTAATTTGGCCTCGATTTGTCAAATATTCTCACTGGGCCAGGCATACTAGGTATGCGTTTCCGAAAGGCGATTTGTTGGAGTCTATTTCACTTCTCATGCAACACATTTTCTAGTTCAGTCGTAGTGGAGGCCTATGAAATTGAGGCGCCAAAGTCTCCCTATGATATTCAAAACCTTCCCATCATGCGTAAACGTGGTCTGGGTTCATTTCTGGCTTGTTTTTGGAAGCAGTTCTGATGGCGGTGAGCAGCTGCACAGACATCTGCCTTTGTCGGCCTGAATAACAATGGAGGACAGTGTCTTGTGCCCCTTTCTTTGCACAGTATGGGGTCTCATTTATTAGACTGACTGACTGAGTTTTGGTTTTACGCCGCTTTTAGCAATATTCCAGCAACATCACGGCAGGGGACACCAGAAATGGGCTTCACACATTGTACCCATGTGGGGATTTAACCCAGGACTTCCGCGTGAAGACATCCAACGGAGTCATGTTACATAAAATTGTGGGTTGATAAAATATATGGGGACCTTCATTCCAACCACCTGTCCCCACCTCCACTCCAATAATACATTACCAGTCTCTCTCTTTATCAGTCTGGAAATGGAAATTGATTCCAAATCAGAAGTGAATATTTTAGCTGAAACTAGGAAAGATACAACAAACTCAACAAGTCAAGAAATTAGTTTTTCCCATTTGACCCTCCACAGAAGTGATACTATATATCATATGCATATTTGTAGCATGGTCTCATCTCACTAAAGTTATGTAACAACAACTTCATGCATGAATCAACAGGGCAGATGCCAAGGCACAGAACATGACACAAGTTTTCAGTGGTAAGCAAGTGAGTATGATTTTATGCTGCTTTTAGCAATAATTCTAGCAATATCATGGCAGGGGGACACCAGAAATGGGCTTTACATTGCACCCATGTGGGGAGTCGAACCTGGGTCGTTGCGTGGTGAGAGCTAATGTTTTTCACCACTGGGCTACTCCCCAACACCCCCACAAGGGTAAGTTCATATAGTTCAGCCATTTGTTTCATTAACTGAGGTCATAGTAATTGTCACTGGGTCATTCAAAGTCTTGGACTACTGATTAGTCCTTCATTATCCTGGTTTTGCATGATGTGTTCACATGATCCTGGCAACAATTTTTCCCATGGCAAAGGAATATGCAATGGTCTCGGTGTCCAAAAAACTTAGGTACAAAGTCAAGCAAATATGGCAATGCATATCCACATCCGTCCTTCAGTATCGTGTTGAACACAGTGGTTCAATAAATATGGTTATGAACTTCCACATAAAGCTGATTCAGACAGTGCCTATGCTAATATATGACTTGTCTGGGACTTCAGCTCTTCTGTTGTCCACCCTCCATTTTGTCTCTGATCTGCTTCAGCAAATATCTGAAAACAAATGTAACCTGTTTGTAGAACAGTTCCATAAAGAATTACATCAAACCCTGGAAGATATTGCTGTTACACATACGCTGACATATATGTGTGATTGTTTTTAATGATGTACTTTGCGGCCTTTAAACCAGGGTTCATACAAATTATCAAAGTTCCATCAAATTTAGCATGCTTGTGCAGGGTCTCTTGGACGTCCCAATCAACAATTTTAAGAAACTATAGAAACACATATAACACACAAGTAGTTCAATACACAAGTTTGGTCAAATGTGGAACCAACAATCACAGGGAAATAACTCTGTACTACATTGTGGCAATGGGAAGGTTTTGCCTTGCCCTCTGTCATTGCAAGGTATTTTTTTTATTGGCGTATTAGTTTCCTGTAAAATCATAACTTGGATGGGTTTTGCTAAATATTAGGCCTTTTGAAAGCAAATAACTGTCAATTAATTCATTTCAGCAATATCCCAGGGACACCAGAAATGGGCTCCATACATTATTGCCCACATGGGGAATTGAAACTGGGGTTTTGGTGTAGCGAGGCAAACACTCTAACCACCGGACTACCTCACTGCCTCTTTTGGTGTGACACAACTTGGATTGAACCTTTGACTTCTGTACTCTGTACAAAGACACCCTACCTTGTCAAGGGAGACAGTCAATACTAAAGATCCACTAACATGCTACGTCACAATACAATCAATTTCTGCAAAATACATTACACTCAACAACATGTCAACTTCAATAAAAGGAGCTTATTTAAAAGAGCATATTACTTTGAGTCTTCATCATCTTCCTCGATTTTAACAGAGAGTGTGTTCACACACTGGCGGAGAGAGTCCTCACAGTTTTCTAGTTGGTCAAATGGTACCCTGCCTGCAAAAAGAAACTTGGATATTAAAAGAACATCATCAAATTGAACTGTTCAAATCTCAAAACCAAAAACAAAAACAAAAAACCAACCCCATTTGGTTTATGGTTTATGGAGTCAGACGACGCTTGCACTTCAGAATAGTTTTAGTGATTGGATTGTCTGGTCCAAAAATAGGCATTAACCCTAATGTGGAGGGGAGGGAGGTATCTGTACCTTTCGTCTTCCTGATGGTGGAGAAAAGATGAGCACATCCATGTGCATGGTGAAGATCTGGCACGCTGCCGGAGGAGATGAACGTGTTTAACTCCTGTAGGAAGAAGCTGGAACAGGAAGAGTTTAGTGGCATAATGATACATCAATACAGTAATGTATCAAATATTGTATCATGTTATGAGTCTTATGTGATATCATATATTGTATCAACTGTGTATCAAATATATCATCCATTACAAGATATATTGATGTAACATGTCAACTTAACAGAAAACTGCGTTCAAGAACCAGTAGTTTGTGCAGAATCTCTATTATTTCATGGTGGTATTTTGAGTAGCGGAATCTTCATAGCAATTCTTCTCTTAAATGTTTATCTTATATGAATCTTCATAGTATCCCTACAATATCCTATCTTCACTTTCTGAAATGTAAAGAGCAAATGTTTAATGGTTGTGATTTATCTGCAGAACAAGATTCAGACAACCCTTGATTCAACACTCCACAACATTGCAATCTCTGTGAGGAGAGAACATGATCTTCACCTGCAAAGCTGACTGACATAGATACTTCCTGTAATCTCTATCTGGTAGAGAACATGATGTTCACCAGCAGAGCTGACTGATATGGATACTTACTGTAATCTCTGTCTAGGAGAGAACATGATCTCCACCTACAGAGCTGCCTGATATGGATACTTACTGTAATCTCTGTCTAGGAGAGAACATGATCTCCACCTACAGAGCTGCCTGATACAGATACTTACTGTAATCTCTGTCTAGGAGAGAACATGATCTCCACCTACAGAGCTGACTGATATAAATACTTACTGTAATCTCTGTCTAGGAGAGAACATGATCTTCACCTACAGAGCTGACTGATACAGATACTTCCTCACTGTAATCTCTGTCTAGGAGAGAACATGATCTTCACTTGCAGAGCTGTCGCTGGATACAGATACTTTCTACTGTAATCTCTGTCTAGGAGAGAACATGATCTCCACCTACAGAGCTGCCTGATACAGATACTTACTGTAATCTCTGTCTAGGAGAGAACATGATCTCCACCTGCAGAGCTGACTGATAAAGATACTTACTGTAATCTCTGTCTAGGAGAGAACATGATCTCCACCTACAGAGCTGCCTGATATAGATACTTCTTACTGTAATCTCTGTCTAGGAGAGAACATGATCTCCACCTACAGAGCTGACTGATACAGATACTTCTCTGTCTACTGTAATCTCTGTCTAGGAGAGAACATGATCTCCACCTGCAGAGCTGCTCTGATAAAGATACTACTGTAATCTCTGTCTAGGAGAGAACATGATCTCCACCTGTCAGAGAGCTGACTCACCTGCAGAGCTGATAATAGATACTTACTGTAATCTCTGTCTAGGAGAGAACATGATGCCTGATACAGATACCTACAATCTCTGCCTAGCATGATTCTGAGCTGCCTGATATACTTACTGTAATCTCTGTCTAGGAGAGAACATGATCTCCACCTACAGAGCTGCCTGATACAGATACTTTACTGTAATCTCTGTCTAGGAGAGAACATGATCTTCACTCTGCAGAGCTGACTGATAAAGATACTTACTGTAATCTCTGTCTAGGAGAGAACATGATCTCCACCTACAGAGCTGCCTGATACAAATACTTTACTGTAATCTCTGTCTAGGGAGAGAACATGATCTCCACCTACAGAGCTGCCTGATATAGATACTTACTGTAATCTCTGTCTAGGAGAGAACATGATCTCCACCTACAGAGCTGCCTGATACAGATACTTACTGAAAATCTCTGTCTAGGAGAGAACATGATCTTCACTCTTGCAGAGCTGACTATAAAGATATTCTACTGTAATCTCTGTCTAGGAGAGAACATGATCTCCACCTACAGAGCTGCCTGATATGGATACTTTCACTGTAATCTCTGTCTAGGAGAGAACATGACCTCCACCCACAGAGCTGCCTGATATGGAGATTTCACTGTAATCTCTGTCTAGGAGAGAACATGATCTTCACCTACAGAGCTGCCTGATATGGATTACTTACTGTAATCTCTGTCTAGGAGAGAACATGATCTCCACCTGCACAGAGCTGCCTGATAAAGATACTTACTGTAATCTCTGTCTAGGAGAGAACATGATCTCCACCTACAGAGCTGCCTGATACAGATACTTACTGTAATCTCTGTCTAGGAGAGAACATGATCTCCACCTACAGAGCTGACTGATATAAATACTTACTGTAATCTCTGTCTAGGAAAGAACATGATCTTCACCTGCAGAGCTGACTGATACAGATACTTACTGTAATCTCTGTCTAGGAGAGAACATGATCTCCACCTGCAGAGCTGACTGATAAAGATACCTCACTGTAATCTCTGTCTAGGAGAGAACATGATCTCCACTCTACTGTACAGAGCTGACTCCATGGCTACTTGACTGTAATACTCTGTAATAGGAAAGAACATGATCTTCACCTGCAGAGCTGACTAATAAAGATACTACTGTAATCTCTGTCTAGGAGAGAACATGATCTCCACCTACAGAGCTGACTGATAATAGATACTTACTGTAATCTCTGTCTAGGAGAGAACATGATCTCCACCTGCAGAGCTGACTGATATGGATACTTCTACTGTAATCTCTGTCTAGGAGAGAACATGATCTCCACCTGCAGAGCTGCCTGATACAGATACTTACTGTAATCTCTGCCTAGGAGAGAACATGATCTTCACTTGCAGAGCTGACTGATAAAGATACTTTACTGTAATCTCTGTCTAGGAGAGAACATGATCTCCACCTGCAGAGCTGACTGATACAAATACTCACTGTAATCTCTGTCTAGGAGAGAACATGATCTCCACCTACAGAGCTGCCTGATACAGATACTTACTGTAATCTCTGTCTAGGAGAGAACATGATCTCCACCTGCAGAGCTGCCTGATAAAGATACTCTACTACTGAAATCTCTGTCTAGGAGAGAACATGATCTCCACCTGCAGAGCTGACTAATAAAGATACTTTACTGTAATCTCTGTCTAGGAGAGAACATGATCTCCACCTACAGAGCTGCCTGATATGGATACTTACTGTAATCTCTGTCTAGGAGAGAACATGATCTCCACCTGCACAGAGCTGCCTGATAAAGATACTCTACTGTAATCTCTGTCTAGGGAGAGAACATGATCTCCCACCTGGAGCTGACTCTATACAGATATTTTACTGTAATCTCTGTCTAGGAGAGAACATGATCTCCACCTACAGAGCTGCCTGATATGGATACTTACTGTAATCTCTGTCTAGGAGAGAACATGATCTTCACCTACAGAGCTGCCTGATATGGATACTTACTGTAATCTCTGTCTAGGAGAGAACATGATCTCCACCTACAGAGCTGCCTGATAAAGATACTTACTGTAATCTCTGTCTAGGAGAGAACATGATCTCCACCTTCAGAGCTGCCTGATACAGATACTTACTGTAATCTCTGTCTAGGAGAGAACATGATCTCCACCTAAAGAGCTGACTGATATAAATACTTACTGTAATCTCTGTCTAGGAAAGAACATGATCTTCACCTGCAGAGCTGACTGATACAGATACTTACTGTAATCTCTGTCTATGATCTCCCACCCACAGAGAGAACATGATGTCTCCACCTGCAGAGCTGACTGATATGGATACTTACTGTAATCTCTGTCTGTCTAGGAGAGAACATGATCTCCACCTGCAGAGCTGCCTGATACAGATACTTACTGTAATCTCTGTCTCAGGAGAGAACATGATCTTCACTTGCAGAGCTGACTGATAAAGATACTTACTGTAATCTCTGTCTAGGAGAGAACATGATCTCCACCCACAGAGCTGCCTGATACAAATACTCTACTGTAATCTCTGTCTAGGAGAGAACATGATCTCCACCTACAGAGCTGCCTGATGCAGATTTCTACTGTAATCTCTGTCTAGGAGAGACATGATCTCCACCTACAGAGCTGCCTGATACAGATACTTACTGAAATCTCTGTCTAGGAGAGAACATGATCTTCACTTGCAGAGCTGACTAATAAAGATACTTACTGTAATCTCTGTCTAGGAGAGAACATGATCTCCACCTACAGAGCTGCCTGATATGGATACTTACTGTAATCTCTGTCTAGGAGAGAACATGACCTCCACCTACAGAGCTGCCTGATATGGATACTTTCACTGTAATCTCTGTCTAGGAGAGAACATGATCTCCACCTACAGAGCTGCCTGATATGGATACTTACTGTAATCTCTGTCTAGGAGAGAACATGATCTCCACCTACCTGCCTGATATGGATACTTACTGTAATCTCTGAGCTGATCTTCACTTGATATATGGATACTTTTACTGTAATCTCTGTCTAGGAGAGAACATGATCTCCACCTACAGAGCTGCCTGATACAGATACTTACTGTAATCTCTGTCTAGGAGAGAACATGATCTCCACCTACAGAGCTGCCTGATATAAATACTTACTGTAATCTCTGTCTAGGAAAGAACATGATCTTCACCTGCAGAGCTGACTGATACAGATACTTACTGTAATCTCTGTCTAGGAGAGAACATGATGTTCACCAGCAGAGCTGACTGATATGGATACTTACTGTAATCTCTGTCTAGGAGAGAACATGATCTCCACCTACAGAGCTGCCTGATACAGATACTTACTGTAATCTCTGTCTAGGAGAGAACATGATCTCCACCTGCAGAGCTGACTTATAAAGATACTTACTGTAATCTCTGTCGAGGAGAGAACATGATCTCCACCTACAGAGCTGACTGATATAAATACTTACTGTAATCTCTGTCTAGGAAAGAACATGATCTTCACCTGCAGAGCTGACTGATACAGATACTTACTGTAATCTCTGTCTAGGAGAGAACATGATCTCCACCTACAGAGCTGCCTGATATGGATACTTACTGTAATCTCTGTCTAGGAAAGAACATGATCTTCACCTGCAGAGCTGACTGATATAAATACTTTCTGTAATCTCTGTCTAGGAAAGAACATGATCTTCACCTGCAGAGCTGCCTGATATGGATACTTACTGCTATCTCTGTCTAGGAGAGAACATGATCTTCACCTACAGAGCTGACTGATATGGATACTTACTGTAATCTCTGTCTAGGAGAGAACATGATCTCCACCTGCAGAGCTGCCTGATAAAGATACTTACTGTAATCTCTGTCTAGGAGAGAACATGATCTCCACCTGCAGAGCTGACTTATAAAGATACTTACTGTAATCTCTGTCTAGGAGAGAACATGATCTCCACCTACAGAGCTGACTGATATAAATACTTACTGTAATCTCTGTCTAGGAGAGAACATGATCTCCACCTGCAGAGCTGCCTGATAAAGATATTTCCTACTGTAATCTCTGTCTAGAGAGAACATGATCTCCACCTGCAGAGCTGACTTATAAAGATACTTACTGTAATCTCTGTCTAGGAGAGAACATGATCTCCACCTACAGAGCTGACTGATATAAATACTTACTGTAATCTCTGTCTAGGAAAGAACATGATCTTCACCTGCAGAGCTGACTAATAAAGATACTTACTGTAATCTCTGTCTAGGAGAGAACATGATCTCCACCTACAGAGCTGCCTGATACAGATACTTACTGAAATCTCTGCCTAGGAGAGAACATGATCTCCACCTGCAGAGCTGCCTGATATGGATACTTACTGTAATCTCTGTCTAGGAGAGAACATGATCTCCACCTACAGAGCTGCCTGATACAGATACTTACTGTAATCTCTGTCTAGGAGAGAACATGATCTTCACTTGCAGAGCTGACTGATAAAGATACTTACTGTAATCTCTGTCTAGGAGAGAACATGATCTCCACCTACAGAGCTGCCTGATACAAATACTTACTGTAATCTCTGTCTAGGAGAGAACATGATCTCCACCTACAGAGCTGCCTGATACAGATACTTACTGTAATCTCTGTCTAGGAGAGAACATGATCTCCACCTACAGAGCTGCCTGATACAGATACTTACTGAAATCTCTGTCTAGGAGAGAACATGATCTTCACTTGCAGAGCTGACTAATAAAGATACTTACTGTAATCTCTGTCTAGGAGAGAACATGATCTCCACCTACAGAGCTGCCTGATATGGATACTTACTGTAATCTCTGTCTAGGAGAGAACATGACCTCCACCTACAGAGCTGCCTGATATGGATACTTACTGTAATCTCTGTCTAGGAGAGAACATGATCTCCACCTACAGAGCTGCCTGATACAGATACTTACTGTAATCTCTGTCTAGGAGAGAACATGATCTTCACTTGCAGAGCTGACTGATAAAGATACTTACTGTAATCTCTGTCTAGGAGAGAACATGATCTCCACCTACAGAGCTGCCTGATACAAATACTTACTGTAATCTCTGTCTAGGAGAGAACATGATCTCCACCTACAGAGCTGCCTGATACAGATACTTACTGTAATCTCTGTCTAGGAGAGAACATGATCTCCACCTGCAGAGCTGACTTATAAAGATACTTACTGTAATCTCTGTCGAGGAGAGAACATGATCTCCACCTACAGAGCTGACTGATATAAATACTTACTGTAATCTCTGTCTAGGAAAGAACATGATCTTCACCTGCAGAGCTGACTGATACAGATACTTACTGTAATCTCTGTCTAGGAGAGAACATGATCTCCACCTACAGAGCTGCCTGATATGGATACTTACTGTAATCTCTGTCTAGGAAAGAACATGATCTTCACCTGCAGAGCTGACTGATATAAATACTTTCTGTAATCTCTGTCTAGGAAAGAACATGATCTTCACCTGCAGAGCTGCTGTGATATGGATACTTACTGCTATCTCTGTCTAGGAGAGAACATGATCTTCACCTACAGAGCTGACTGATATGGATACTTACTGTAATCTCTGTCTAGGAGAGAACATGATCTCCACCTGCAGAGCTGCCTGATAAAGATACTTACTGTAATCTCTGTCTAGGAGAGAACATGATCTCCACCTGCAGAGCTGACTTATAAAGATACTTACTGTAATCTCTGTCTAGGAGAGAACATGATCTCCACCTACAGAGCTGACTGATATAAATACTTACTGTAATCTCTGTCTAGGAGAGAACATGATCTCCACCTGCAGAGCTGCCTGATAAAGATACTTACTGTAATCTCTGTCTAGGAGAGAACATGATCTCCACCTGCAGAGCTGACTTATAAAGATACTTACTGTAATCTCTGTCTAGGAGAGAACATGATCTCCACCTACAGAGCTGACTGATATAAATACTTACTGTAATCTCTGTCTAGGAAAGAACATGATCTTCACCTGCAGAGCTGACTAATAAAGATACTTACTGTAATCTCTGTCTAGGAGAGAACATGATCTCCACCTACAGAGCTGCCTGATACAGATACTTACTGAAATCTCTGCCTAGGAGAGAACATGATCTCCACCTGCAGAGCTGCCTGATATGGATACTTACTGTAATCTCTGTCTAGGAGAGAACATGATCTCCACCTACAGAGCTGCCTGATACAGATACTTACTGTAATCTCTGTCTAGGAGAGAACATGATCTTCACTTGCAGAGCTGACTGATAAAGATACTTACTGTAATCTCTGTCTAGGAGAGAACATGATCTCCACCTACAGAGCTGCCTGATACAAATACTTACTGTAATCTCTGTCTAGGAGAGAACATGATCTCCACCTACAGAGCTGCCTGATACAGATACTTACTGTAATCTCTGTCTAGGAGAGAACATGATCTCCACCTACAGAGCTGCCTGATACAGATACTTACTGAAATCTCTGTCTAGGAGAGAACATGATCTTCACTTGCAGAGCTGACTAATAAAGATACTTACTGTAATCTCTGTCTAGGAGAGAACATGATCTCCACCTACAGAGCTGCCTGATATGGATACTTACTGTAATCTCTGTCTAGGAGAGAACATGACCTCCACCTACAGAGCTGCCTGATATGGATACTTACTGTAATCTCTGTCTAGGAGAGAACATGATCTTCACCTACAGAGCTGCCTGATATGGATACTTACTGTAATCTCTGTCTAGGAGAGAACATGATCTCCACCTACAGAGCTGCCTGATAAAGATACTTACTGTAATCTCTGTCTAGGAGAGAACATGATCTCCACCTACAGAGCTGCCTGATACAGATACTTACTGTAATCTCTGTCTAGGAGAGAACATGATCTCCACCTACAGAGCTGACTGATATAAATACTTACTGTAATCTCTGTCTAGGAAAGAACATGATCTTCACCTGCAGAGCTGACTGATACAGATACTTACTGTAATCTCTGTCTAGGAGAGAACATGATCTCCACCTGCAGAGCTGCCTGATAAAGATACTTACTGTAATCTCTGTCTAGGAGAGAACATGATCTTCACCTACAGAGCTGACTGATACAGATACTTACTGTAATCTCTGTCTAGGAGAGAACATGATCTCCACCTGCAGAGCTGCCTGATAAAGATACTTACTGTAATCTCTGTCTAGGAGAGAACATGATCTTCACCTGCAGAGCTGACTGATACAGATACTTACTGTAATCTCTGTCTAGGAGAGAACATGATCTCCACCTGCAGAGCTGACTTATAAAGATACTTACTGTAATCTCTGTCTAGGAGAGAACATGATCTCCACCTACAGAGCTGACTGATATAAATACTTACTGTAATCTCTGTCTAGGAAAGAACATGATCTTCACCTGCAGAGCTGACTGATACAGATACTTACTGTAATCTCTGTCTAGGAGAGAACATGATCTCCACCTACAGAGCTGACTGATATAAATACTTACTGTAATCTCTGTCTAGGAGAGAACATGATCTCCACCTACAGAGCTGACTGATATAAATACTTACTGTAATCTCTGTCTAGGAAAGAACATGATCTTCACCTGCAGAGCTGACTGATATAAATACTTACTGTAATCTCTGTCTAGGAAAGAACATGATCTTCACCAGCAGAGCTGACTGATATGGATACTTACTGTAATCTCTGTCTAGGAGAGAACATGATCTCCACCTGCAGAGCTGACTGATACAGATACTTACTGTAATCTCTGTCTAGGAGAGAACATGATGTTCACCAGCAGAGCTGACTGATATGGATACTTACTGTAATCTCTGTCTAGGAGAGAACATGATCTTCACCAGCAGAGCTGACTGATATGGATACTTACTGTAATCTCTGTCTAGGAGAGAACATGATCTTCACCTACAGAGCTGACTGATATGGATACTTACTGTAATCTCTGTCTAGGAGAGAACATGATCTCCACCTGCAGAGCTGCCTGATAAAGATACTTACTGTAATCTCTGTCTAGGAGAGAACATGATCTCCACCTACAGAGCTGCCTGATACAGATACTTACTGTAATCTCTGTCTAGGAGAGAACATGATCTTCACCAGCAGAGCTGACTGATATGGATACTTACTGTAATCTCTGTCTAGGAGAGAACATGATCTTCACCAGCAGAGCTGCCTGATATGGATACTTACTGTAATCTCTATCTAGGAGAGAACATGATCTTCACCAGCAGAGCTGACTGATACAGATACTTACTGTAATCTCTGTCTAGGAGAGAACATGATCTCCACCTACAGAGCTGCCTGATATGGATACTTACTGTAATCTCTGTCTAGGAGAGAACATGATCTTCACCAGCAGAGCTGACTGATATGGATACTTACTGTAATCTCTGTCTAGGAGAGAACATGATCTTCACCTACAGAGCTGACTGATATAAATACTTACTGTAATCTCTGTCTAGGAGAGAACATGATCTCCACCTACAGAGCTGCCTGATACAGATACTTACTGTAATCTCTGTCTAGGAGAGAACATGATCTTCACCTACAGAGCTGACTGATATAAATACTTACTGTAATCTCTGTCTAGGAGAGAACATGATCTCCACCTACAGAGCTGACTAATAAAGATACTTACTGTAATCTCTGTCTTGGAGAAAACATGATCTTCATCAGCAGAGCTGACAGAACAGGGAGACTGGAGATGTCAACTGGCTCATCCAAGTTTTCCTACACACCAAATAAATCTACTTTGTTCAAACTCACCGACAAAGAAACATTTGTCTTTTCCTGCCATTTTTCATTTACTTGATTACGATGTTAGGATCTACACTGAAACATTGCATCTATTGGAATAAAGAAGTTATCTATCCATAAAAAGTGTTCCTCTTGAAAATATATCAGGTTCACAATATCACATAAAACATTTTGCACAGTAAACACTCACAGGATTCTTCTTTAGGTTATTTGAAACTTTAAAAATTTGAAATATCTTCTTTCTTTTGCCCCTCACTGAATATTATGTTTAAACCAGGAAACTTGATTACTCAATGAATAAATGTTTCTAGTTAGGCCCCAAAAGTACAAAGTTAATATTGCTCAGTTCCACAAGTTCAGCAGCCATCAGAAGCCTCTTCAAAGAAGACTTATCACAACAGCAATGAGAGCAGCAATTGTTTAATGAATTCAAACCAATGGGCAAATATGGCAAGAATGGCTTGACTTCTGGATTGGTCTCATCCAGAAGTTCTGGTGTGTTCGGGTGAGATGTCTTTCAGTGAGTAACGCAGCACAGGATGTTTCTACATTTTGGGTGAATGAAGAGATACCCAATGTGTATGAGACAGGAAAAATGATAATGTTGTGGAATGGATGTGAGATCCTGCCTGGTGGAACTCAGACACCTACCTTATGACTAGCATGAGTCAGTTCGGCCACTATGGCCATTAGTGTGGCTGTCATCATATCCGCTGTTGAAGGGTAGTGGAACACGTTCTTCATGGCTGTGTTGAAGATTTCTGTGAGCTGGGGCTTTATGCTGGACATTACCTACAAGCAAGGTACACAGACTTTTAACACATCTCCCTCCACAATATCTTCCAAGCCCATCACAGTTTCTGTCTGTAAGGTGTAACACAATCAGGTGAATTCCAACAATAAAGGCTGGGATTTATCCCCCAAAGTGAGCAAGTTGTTTTTATCACGGCTGTGAACAGTATAACGTCGTGGTCAGAGTAATATGGGAAGAAAGCCCCGCGAGTGCCCCCACTGATAACTTACTCCACTTTCATGAAGTCCACTATAGAAATTGGATTCAAACCAATTCACCAGACCTTGAGTGAGTTGTTCCACGCCACTTTTAGCAATAACAATATCAAGCTGGGACACAGACACACATTGTACCCATGAGGAGAATCGACCCCGGGTCAGCATGTTGAGCGAACACTTTAACCACTAGGCTACCCCACCAACCAAGGACCCGTGAAGATCAAGGTTAGAATTGGTCTGCAGCAGCCCATGATTGTCGTAAGAGGCGAATAATGGGATCGGGCTCGCTGACTTGGTTGACACGTCATCGTATCCCAATTGTGTAGATCGATGCTCATGCTGTTGATCACTGGACTGTCTGGTCCAGATTCGATTATTTACAGACCACCACCATATAGCTGGAACATTGCTGAGTGTGGCGTTAAACATCAAACCAAACCAACAATCACAGATTTCTGGTCCAAAGGACACAACTCTGCCCTGTCAATAGATTATGGTTAAACATGGTAAATGTTCTTATATCTCATATCATACATTAAAATACAAGCCTCTGATTTGTTGAGGAGGGGGCAATTATTTTCCATGTAGCCAGTGAAAAATTCAACTGGAACCAATCACAGGTTACTTGTTCATCTTTCATAAGTATTGTTAACTTTCTGAAATGAACTGATGTTATCTGAATGCAATGGGTAAAGGGAAGTAACTGTTGATTTGCATTGTGTGCCTGTTGTGCGTTTTTACTTAAGACAGTCAACAAGCTTTGCAACTCATGACACTGCACACATATATTCATACTTGTATAAATAAATGTTGGTAAGATGAATTCATTGTCAACAGATCCCTCGGTAATTTTTTGTGATGTACCCTGAAGGCTTGGGCTCACACATAAGGTACATCGTACACTGTACCCCTCCAGATCTGTTGACAAGATATCTATTGAGGCACAAGAAAAACTCTGACAAAGTATCAGGGAGTGCTGTCACATGTAATAATTCTATCACTTACCTCCTGACAGGTCTGCTTGTTGTGTTTGATGTAACTCGCAAGACACACAAACACTTTGCCCATGAAGTTGGGGATAAGTGCCAACAGCTGACCCTCACTGTTTGTCTCTCGGTCCAGCGTGCGTCGAGCATCCGTCACCCACTGCAGGCATGTCAACACACTGTCAACCAGTCTCAGGCTCCTGTCTACAACACAAATATAATTATTGAGCTACTTCCTGTGACTAGAGCAAGTACATGCTCATGTGGCAGTGATCCAGGTTAGAATTGGTCTTCAGTAACCAATGTTTGTCGTTAAGTAACGGATCGGGATCAGGCTTGCTGACTTGGTTGACACATGTCATCGTATCCCAACACAAGCTGTCGAACACGCATTGTCTGGTCCACTGGATTATTTACAGACCGCCGCCATATAGCTGCAATATTGCTGAGTGAGGCGTAAAACAAGAAACCAACCAAATCATGTGACAGTGACAGATCTTACATGTTTCATACATGTCTATTGTAGACATTTTAGCTTTTTTGCCTTAAGTGTCTTAGGTAGTCTAGTCAATTCATATAAATAGCTGTTACCAGGTATTGCTTGATGTCAATCACTAGATTGTCAGGGTCTAGACACGATTATTTACATCATACTGCTGGAACATTGCTGAGTGTGGCATTAAACAACAAACAAACAAAAACACATCACCAAATAGTCACGAATCCTGAGCATAGGTGCCAGGACACTTTATACCCCAGTTGCCAACAGGGAGAAACTGAGATTTGTTTTGTTTTGTGATAAGTTTATTGACTTACCTTCTTCCAGACAAGATATACACAGTTTAGTGGCCTTAGAGGTGAACTCCTTGTCAGCAGATCCAACCATCATCAGGTGCCAGCTCATCTTCAGAATAATCTGTAAGAGAGCATTATCATAGAATCAGTCATATTATGGCATCTCATGTTGATGTGGCCCCAACTGAGCAGGGCCCACTTGCAAAAAAGCGATCTTAGTGCTACGATGATCTTAACTCCTATACTCTAGTGAGTGAGTGAGTTTAGGTTTACGCTGCTTTTAGCAATATTCCAGCAATATCATGACGGGGGACACCAGAAATGGTCTTCACACATTGTACCCATGTGGAGAAATTGATGTTAGGAGCCAACGCTTTAACCACTAGGCTACCCCACCGCCCCTCTATACTCAAACACAGACTTAAGACAATTGGTGGAACCCACAGGCATGGTGCTAACTGAACCAGGAACCCATAATCAGAGATTCAAGTGAAAAGATTTTTTTTGTCTAGACATGCTTAGATACTAACAACACAAACAATTCTAAAGAAGCAATAACTTTGACCTCTAGTGACCTTGACCTCATAGAGATTCAACATATGTCAGAACAATTCATTGGGATTTTTCTCTCTCATAAATGTGTGGTTGAAAGACACCTGAGGCGCCAGTAAAGCTCAAAGTCCATGACTTTCCATGATTACCTGAAGAGTTTTAAAGGCCAGTTCCCCGTCTTTCCGTGACCTTTTGCCCTGTTGTTGCAACTGAGGCACCAGTTCCTCCTGAGCCCAGGTCAGTAGGTCAGTGAATTGTGGCTTAGGATCAGTTTCTTCCTGGAGAAACAAAATATGCCATTGTTAAAAGATCTGAGTGCTGATCCATATTGTGTGAAACCTTCCATGACACCAGTTTCCAAGCGGTGAAACAATACTTCCGAGTCTTGATCCTTAGTGTGACCAACATTACATAGACATCTCGGGTCAAACAAACCCGTGGTTAATAGTGTGAGCATGAGACAACAATGACACTTCACTTTGGATCACGATTTAAATTTGTTAATTCATAGATCAGATTGAACTATTTACTTATTTTGCCTCTGAACTCAATAACTCAAACATAATCACACTCTTATCCTGAGAGAAGGAAAAACTTGAAAAGATAGTAAACATGACACGAAAATCCCACAAGTTGAAACCAAATACACATGAGATACATTACCTGTTTATGTAGCAAGAGGGACACTCGGAGATACAGGAAGAAAGTCTTCAGAACAAAGTCTTCATTAGTGGGACTGGTTTCTGAGTCGGCACTGTTCATTGCTTTCAAAATATCCTGCAGAACAAACCAAGCATATATTTTGGATGGTTATTTTTCAAATATTTCATGTCAATGTATTCCCTATTCATGCATCAAAACATAACAATGATTTGGTATAGAATTTAACTTTTGACACTGCTGGAGAAAATGTGTATATTTTCAGATACACAATGGTAGCCAAAATCCAGGTATAGATTCAACAGTGTGCCTTCTTCAGGCCACAGAGAGTTTCGACCTATGAAGATCTGGGCTCCTTTTCACAAAGCTCTCAAAAGCCTAAGATCTTCAGATTTTCGTCAGAGCATTCGCATCTCTATGTTACAGTATAGGAGGTAGGAATGCTACTAGAAAAGTTACGAGATCTTAGGCTTACGAGAGCTTTGTGAAACGTTACAATTTAGGAGGTAGGAATGCTACGAGGAAAGTTACGAGATCTTAGGCTTACGAGAGCTTTGTGAAACGGGGCCATGGGTTACAATTGATCTACAGCAACCCACGCTTGTCGTAAGAGGCAACTAACAGGATCGGGTGGTCAGGTTTGCTGACTTGTCATCGTATCTAAATTGCATAGGTCAATGCTCATGCAGCTGTCTCGTCCAGACTCGACTATTTACAGACCTCTTTCATATAGCTGGGATATTGCACACTCACACCATATAGAATACCACACTGTCCGGAAAACATGTGATATAACCACTTGCAACAGTCTAAATGTGCCATGCTCTATCGTGGTGAAACTACAACACATGACATTACTACTTTGAACAGTCTATATGTACCACACTCCATCATGCCAAAACTACCCAAACACACGACAATATAAGTTGTATGCTTCTCTCAAATATATGGTCTGATGTACGCCTCTTTGTAGCAGTTTCACCCAAGCCAGTAGGCGTCATATTATGACGTCATACGATTGTTAGCAAAACATCTTCTCGACGGAGAGTTTGGCGGTTACCGTGGCAGCGGTTAAAAAATTTTCCAGTTGTGACCCTCCTGGGAGGGATGACACGGAAACTTGTTAAAGTTTTACATGAAGGTAAGATGATATGACATGACATGTGTTAACATACCACACTGTGTCCCAGAGCCTCCATGGTCTGTGTCAAGGCATCAAGATGGTCCACAAGTATAACCTCTCGACACAGGTCCTTCTCCAGCAGGATCTCCAGGTATTCCAGAGATATTGGAGGTTCAGGCTTGATTGTTTCTTTCAGCATAACACATTTGGCACCAGTCTTCTTTTTCTGTTGGGCAGAATCAAATGGGTCATGTATTAAAAAACCCCAGAAAATCCAGGTAAAGATGGACTTTTACAAATATATTTTCATGTAAATAAAAAGGGCATGTAAGTAAGTGAATTATTTCTGTTGTAGGTAGGAATGGCTAGCTGAAATTAGTTTTCGCAATTTTTATAATTATTGCATTTTGGCCATGCTCTAGTATTCTCCTTCTCATGTTCTTGAATTCATTATAAACAAATTCTCAGAATAACAAATTTGTTCCAAACAATGATAACATTTGCATTTTTCAAGTTTCAAATTCAGTTTTCAGAAACCATATTGAAAGCTATTTATTGGAAATAAGCAATCATTTCTGTAGATTTTACATATGGTTTCTTAGCTGCTGGATTAGAGTCACTTACAACGGTAGATCCACCGGGCTTATACTCTGCAATGGTCTTTTCCTCCAGACCTGCCTCGACAGAAGTCGCGATCATCTCCAGCAAGGCGTTACTGAAACGCCATTTACACAGAGTGCCGATGAAGTTCTGCAGGTGTGCTACGCCCATGTGTGTGTCCGCTGTCATGTTACGCAGCTTCGACATGCAGCTATCACTGTAAATAATGGCACAGGATAATTTCAATGTCATCAATTCTATAAGTTTAAATGGACAAATATGTTTGTCGATAACATTGACTGCAGTGCATCTACACTGATCAGTTCCACTTCTTGTCAACACACACTTTTAAGTAAGTAAGTTGTGATACTGTAAATAATAGCATCAGATCATTTCAATGTCATCCATTTCTAGAAGTGAGTGAGTGAGTGAGTGAAATTTGTGGACAAATTTGTTTGTCCATAACACCGCCTACCTTAATACAGGAACTCTTGTCGATGGCAAAAAGCCAGATAACAGCATGATAGCAGCATAGGCTCTTGGTTCCTGGAAAATATGCACCAGGTCTGTCTGAGTGAGTGAGGAAGATGGGGTTAATGCCTGTTTTAACAACATTTCAGTTATACAGAGGTCTTAGACATTTACCTCTTTGGTGAGTGAGTGAGTGAGTGAGCATGATTTTATGCCGCTTTAAGCAATATTCAAGCAATATCACAGCGAGGAACCCCAGAAATGGGATTTACACATTGTACCCATGTGGGGAATCAAACCTGGGTCTTCAGTGTGACGAGGAATGCTTTAACCTTTAGTCTACCCCACTGACAAATGGTGTTGTTGCCATTATAGGCATGCAAATGGCACAAAGGACAAAGAATTTGGAACTCTGGAGATGCAGCCTACCTGGAATATACGTAGCATCTGTGGAATGATCACACTGTACCGTTTCTGCAACTCATGTCGAACGTCAGTATGTTGAGGCTATAAAAATATCAGAAGAAATACATCATTTTCACTTACTTATTCAGGGAAAAAAAGAGTTTGGTATGTAATTAGCTCCGAAACTACATGTGATGCACTTAATGTGCATGTTTTTATGTTTATACATCAGTAAAAGCAAACAAATCTATTTCTGGTTTCTATCTATTTACTGGGGTGTATTTATTAAGAAGGGTCTATCCATTTACTGGAGCGTATCTGTCTGTTAAAAAGGGTCCATCTATTATTTGGGTTTATACTATAGGGGAATGCCTGCTTTACAAGGCATGGACATGGAGCTCCCAGGCTGACGTCATCTGGCATGCTTTACAGTTCTAACAATATTATATCAAGATATATATTGTATATGTCAAGATTTCAACAGGAGATTGGAGAACTCTGTTCTAAAGTATTTACCAGTATGAAAATGTCAAGTCTGCTTCTGTCAAACATGTCTGATGCAGGAAAAGTTTAATACAGAATGTTTTATGGCTCTTACAACTTTACTCAGAATTGTTTAAGTTTAAAGACATCACTTCAGGTTTGGGGAAACACAAGGCTCACACAAAACAACTTTAAACTAGAATGTTCTTAGCTAATGACTACTTTAATAAACAGAGTTATAAGTACTTTAAGGTTAAACATTGCTTGTATTTTGAGTAAACACATTCACAAGCTGTATGCATACAGGTCGATAGAAAACAAATTACAAACTTCCCTAGACATTTTGTTACAAAAGACATTGTGCACGTCCTGAAATTAGAGAGAAAATATCAATTAACAACCTTCCATAATTTTCAGTGTATTTATCAGAACATACAACATAAATGTTTATGATCTTCCAAATGCAACCATTGATATTAAAACTGACCGTGTGTAACTGTTTAGAGATGGCATCCCACATGAGGTACATGGCCTCTATGAGACCCATCATGATCTCCGAGTTCTTCAGGCTCAGCTCTTGCTCTTCATCGTCATCACTTCCTGCCTCCTGGAATCATAACACATTCACAGTATCTGGGACATTCGGCTGGTTTTATTAGGTTCCAGTCTATCAGCACATTGAACCTTTAAGCGTTCAAAGAACTGGTTCTGTATAACAGCTTTCATAAGCTTTGGTTTTTTTCACACAGCACAGTTTAACATTTAAGGCTAGCGGATTAGCATGAATTTGAAAGGCTGCAAAGTTGAACATTTCAATCAAAACACATCAGCCTCCACAGTCTGTCTAAACTATCTTGCGATTAGTATCAACATTTGGTTATTGCATAAAAGTATGGATATAAGGTTTATGTATCGTTGTTCAGGGTTAATATTTTTAGACTGAAAGTTTTTTTTGATAGAAGAGACCTGTAGACATGCAAAGATTCTATGATAAAACACACAATACATTCAGCCTCAAAATCACAATTATGACTCAATAACAGGCTCTGGCTTTTACATGAGAACCCTTGTAAATGAACACATTTTATCAAGAGTTTTACAAAGGTGTAATTCAGGTAAAAAATCTGTTTCACATCATAAGCGGGAATTGAATGAGTGAGTGAGTGACCAGGTGGGTTTTGTGAATGTTAACGAATGTTCTTGTGACTGAACTGATAGAATGACAATACATACAGTGTTTTGATTACTGCTGTCATCTCTGGTCACATTAGTGGAATTGGTGATGTTGGCATTACTGTCATTGGCAGAGCTGGCAGTGCTTTCATTGTGATTCTCATTTGAGTTCTCAGCATGGTTTCTTTTGATCAGAACCAGCATCACACGCGACAGCAGAGTCAGGTACTTCACTGAAACAATGGAACAGGTAGACAGTGGGGTCAGGTACTTCACTGAAACAATAGAACAGGTAGACAGTGGGGTCAGGTACTTCACTGAAACAACAGGACAGGTAGACAGTAGAGTCAGGTACTTCACTGAAACAATAGAACAGGTAGACAGTAGAGTCAGGTACTTCACTGAAACAATAGAACAGGTAGACAGCAGAGTGAGGTACTTCACTGAAACAATAGAACAGGTAGACAGCAGAGTCAGGTACTTCACTGAAACAATAGAACAGGTAGACAGTAGAGTGAGGTACTTCACTGAAACAATAGAACAGGTAGACAGCAGAGTCAGGTACTTCACTGAAACAATAGAACAGGTAGACAGCAGAGTCAGGTACTTCACTGAAACAATAGAACAGGTAGACAGTGGAGTCAGGTACTTCACTGAAACAATAGAACAGGTAGACAGCAGAGTCAGGTACTTCACTGAAACAATAGAACAGGTAGACAGTGGAGTCAGGTACTTCACTGAAACAATAGAACAGGTAGACAGTGGAGTCAGGTACTTCACTGAAACAATAGAACAGGTAGACAGTGGAGTCAGGTTCTTCACTGAAACAATAGAACAGGTAGACAGTGGAGTCAGGTTCTTCACTGAAACAATAGAACAGGTAGACAGTGGAGTCAGGTTCTTCACTGAAACAATAGAACAGGTAGACAGCAGAGTGAGGTACTTCACTGAAACAATAGAACAGGTAGACAGTGGAGTCAGGTTCTTCACTGAAACAATAGAACAGGTAGACAGCAGAGTGAGGTACTTCACTGAAACAATAGAACAGGTAGACAGTGGAGTCAGGTTCTTCACTGAAACAATAGAACAGGTAGACAGCAGAGTGAGGTACTTCACTGAAACAATAGAACAGGTAGACAGTGGAGTCAGGTTCTTCACTGAAACAATAGAACAGGTAGACAGCAGAGTGAGGTACTTCACTGAAACAATAGAACAGGTAGACAGTGGAGTCAGGTTCTTTACTGAAACAATAGAACAGGTAGACAGTAGAGTCAGGTACTTCACTGAAACAATAGAACAGGTAGACAGTGGAGTCAGGTTCTTCACTGAAACAATAGAACAGGTAGACAGTAGAGTCAGGTACTTCACTGAAACAATAGAACAGGTAGACAGTGGAGTCAGGTTCTTCACTGAAACAATAGAACAGGTAGACAGTAGAGTCAGGTACTTCACTGAAACAATAGAACAGGTAGACAGTGGAGTCAGGTACTTCACTGAAACAATAGAACAGGTAGACAGTGGAGTCAGGTACTTCACTGAAACAATAGAACAGGTACAGACAGGAGGGTCAGGTACTTCGCTGAAACAATAGAACAGGTACAGACAGGAGGGTCAGGTACTTCACTGAAACAATAGAACAGGTAGACAGTGGAGTCAGGTTCTTCACTGAAACAATAGAACAGGTAGACAGCAGAGTGAGGTACTTCACTGAAACAATAGAACAGGTAGACAGTGGAGTCAGGTTCTTCACTGAAACAATAGAACAGGTAGACAGCAGAGTGAGGTACTTCACTGAAACAATAGAACAGGTAGACAGTGGAGTCAGGTTCTTCACTGAAACAATAGAACAGGTAGACAGCAGAGTGAGGTACTTCACTGAAACAATAGAACAGGTAGACAGTGGAGTCAGGTTCTTCACTGAAACAATAGAACAGGTAGACAGCAGAGTGAGGTACTTCACTGAAACAATAGAACAGGTAGACAGTGGAGTCAGGTTCTTTACTGAAACAATAGAACAGGTAGACAGTAGAGTCAGGTACTTCACTGAAACAATAGAACAGGTAGACAGTGGAGTCAGGTTCTTCACTGAAACAATAGAACAGGTAGACAGTAGAGTCAGGTACTTCACTGAAACAATAGAACAGGTAGACAGTGGAGTCAGGTTCTTCACTGAAACAATAGAACAGGTAGACAGTAGAGTCAGGTACTTCACTGAAACAATAGAACAGGTAGACAGTGGAGTCAGGTACTTCACTGAAACAATAGAACAGGTAGACAGTGGAGTCAGGTACTTCACTGAAACAATAGAACAGGTACAGACAGGAGGGTCAGGTACTTCACTGAAACAATAGAACAGGTACAGACAGGAGGGTCAGGTACTTCACTGAAACAATAGAACAGGTAGACAGTAGAGTCAGGTACTTCACTGAAACAATAGAACAGGTACAGACAGGAGGGTCAGGTACTTCACTGAAGCAATAGAACAGGTAGACAGTAAAGTCAGGTACTTCACTGAAACAATAGAACAGGTACAGACAGGAGGGTCAGGTACTTCACTGAAGCAATAGAACAGGTAGACAGTAAAGTCAGGTACTTCACTGAAACAATAGAACAGGTAGACAGTAGAGTCAGGTACTTCACTGAAACAAAAGAACAGGTACAGACAGGAGGGTCAGGTACTTCACTGAAGCAATAGAACAGGTAGACAGTAGAGTCAGGTACTTCACTGAAACAATAGAACAGGTACAGACAGGAGGGTCAGGTACTTCACTGAAGCAATAGAACAGGTAGACAGTAAAGTCAGGTACTTCACTGAAACAATAGAACAGGTAGACAGTGGAGTCAGGTACTTCACTGAAACAATAGAACAGGTAGACAGTGGAGTCAGGTTCTTCACTGAAACAATAGAACAGGTAGACAGTGGGGTCAGGTACTTCACTGAAACAATAGAACAGGTAGACAGTGAAGTCAGGTACTTCACTGAAACAATAGAACGGGTAGACAGTGGAGTCAGGTACTTCACTGAAACAATAGAACAGGTAGACAGTGGAGTCAGGTACTTCACTGAAACAATAGAACAGGTAGACAGTAGAGTCAGGTACTTCACTGAAACAATAGAACAGGTAGACAGTGGAGTCAGGTACTTCACTGAAACAATAGAACAGGTAGACAGTAGAGTCAGGTACTTCACTGAAATAATAGAACAGGTAGACAGTGGGGTCAGGTACTTCACTGAAACAATAGAACAGGTAGACAGTGGAGTCAGGTACTTCACTGAAACAATAGAACAGGTAGACAGTGGGGTCAGGTACTTCACTGAAGCAATAGGACAGGTAGACAGTGAAGTCAGGTACTTCACTGAAACAATAGGACAGGTAGACAGTAGAGTCAGGTACTTCACTGAAACAATAGAACAGGTACAGACAGGAGGGTCAGGTACTTCACTGAAGCAATAGAACAGGTAGACAGTAAAGTCAGGTACTTCACTGAAACAATAGAACAGGTAGACAGTAGAGTGAGGTACTTCACTGAAACAATAGAACAGGTAGACAGTAGAGTCAGGTACTTCACTGAAACAATAGAACAGGTAGACAGTAGAGTCAGGTACTTCACTGAAACAATAGAACAGGTACAGACAGTAGAGTCAGGTACTTCACTGAAGCAATGGAACAGGTACAGACAGGAGGGTCAGGTACTTCACTGAAACAATAGAACAGGTAGACAGTGGGGTCAGGTACTTCACTGAAACAATAGAACAGGTAGACAGTGGGGTCAGGTACTTCACTGAAACAATATAACAGGTAGACAGTAGAGTCAGGTACTTCACTGAAACAATAGAACAGGTAGACAGTGGGGTCAGGTACTTCACTGAAACAATAGAACAGGTAGACAGTAGAGTCAGGTACTTCACTGAAACAACAGAACAGGTACAGACAGGAGGGTCAGGTAAGTGTAAGATTCTGGGGTACCTGATTCCTCAAACTTGAGTTCAGTGGGTGCATACTGGAAGAACTTCCTGGCTGCCCCTGCGTCCTCCTTGATGAGGTGAGTGAGCCGGGAAATCTTCTCCTCTGTGGTCTGTTCAAGCGGCATGTAACTGTTGATGAGGAGCTTGACGATCTTCTTACACACAGCAGCAGAGTCCTCCTTCAGTCTCGCTAGCAGGTGCTCCACTGGCACGATCGTCCAGAACTACAGGATGGACAAAGGATGGATATCAGTTTTCAAAACAAGTCATCTCGAAAGTCCTTCTCAAGACCTAACTTTTAACATTAATAGACTCGTTTTAATAGAATAATTGACTTCATACTGTACACAGAATTTGTCAAGCTACAGGATGGTAGTCTGTAAACATTCAAGCCTGGACCAGAAAATCCAGTGATTAATACAATGAGCATTGATCTATGCTATTGGGATATAATGACATGTATCAACCATGTCATTACCTCTGCTAGGAAGATTTTAATACATTTGATAAAACCAATGAAAAACACATATTTTGACAACATACCATTACATGTAGACTGCCGAGCAATACACATTCTCAGTTGTCTGTATTACAGTTTCCTTGTGTCCAGCTAATACTGTGCTGTATGTGATATTAAGAAATATCCATGTATATACATTATAAGTTGTGTAGTATAGAAGCAGTATATATACCTTGATTGCTCGGATTTTCTTGACCTTGAGAAGAAGGTCCATCATGGCTTTCCTGACAGACTCGGACATATCATGGACATGGTCTCTCATTGTGGGCAGCACCTGCTTCAGCAGCGGGTGACACAGATGGTTGTCCAGGAGATCAGTCAGACCCTGCCAATGGACATAGTATATCAAACCATCTTAGAGGAGGAGACATAGTATATCTAACCTTGTCAATGGAGGACACATAGTATATCTAACCATCTTAGTGGAGGGCACACAGTATATCTAACCATCTAAGTGGATGGCACATAGTATATCAAACCATCTTAGTGGAGGGCACACAGTATATCTAACCATCTTAGTGGAGGACACATAATATATCTAACCATCTTAGTGGAGGACACAGTATATCTAACCTTGTCAATGGAGGACACATAGTATATCAAACCATCTTAGTGGAGGGCACATAGTATATCTAACCATCTTAGTGGAGGACACATAGTATATCTAACCAGCTTAGTGGAAGACACATAGTATATCAAACAATCTTAGTGGAGGACACATAGTATATCTAACCATCTTAGTGGAGGACACATAGTATATCTAACCATCTTAGTGGAGGACACATAATATATCTAACCATCTTAGTGGAGGACACAGTATATCTAACCTTGTCAATGGAGGACACATAGTATATCAAACCATCTTAGTGGAGGGCACATAGTATATCTAACCATCTTAGTGGAGGACACATAGTATATCTAACCAGCTTAGTGGAGGACACAGTATATCTAACCATCTTAGTGGAGGACACATAATATATCTAACCATCTTAGTGGAGGACACATAGCATATCTAACCTTGTCAATGGAGGACACATAGTACTGTAAACGTAGTATATTTCGCGCAGGTTTTATTTTTTCGCCAAAGAAAAACATTTTAGCCGAAAAATTTATACACCGCGAATAAACCATAACACATCAAGTTTGAAGACAGAAATCTACGGGAATCTTAAAATGACGACTGATAGTAGCATAAACAATCATACTTAACTGTCGCTGTAATGGATTTCCCAAAATGTAATTAAATAATGTGCCAAATCCCATCGCCGAATTAGTGAAAACGGCAATGTGTGTTGTGGCCGCCATGGAAATTGGTCACATGACAGATGGTTTGATACAAAACAGATTACCATGAAACGACTCGGAAAGAAATAATACAGCAGTATTTTATTTATTCATTTAGATACAAACGTATCATCATGAAGCGAATAGTAACTTAACACTCAATCATCTCATTCACAACAACCCGGCTTGTTTGAAATCACAAAAAGCTTCATATACAGTATTAGTTAATTCGTCAGATCGTCAGAATTCGGAACATAAGACTGATGTGTTTTTCATCTCTTCCGGGAGTAAACGGGTTACTGTGTACTAGCATATCGCTCAGATAGGGATTTCCGGTAAGTAAGCAATAAGCGCCGCCTGACAGGTTAAGCCACTCTGTTTGTTTTCACTGCTATTAGTGGCGGCCAAAGAGACAGCTGGCAGTTCCGGCAATTACTGATTGCGCGAATAATTGACCGCGCGAAGTAGTCTAAACTGTCAATTCCGCGAAAATTGCACCACGCGAAAATAAGTACGTTTACAGTATATCAAACCATCTTAGTGGAGGGCACACAGTATATCTAACCATCTTAGTGGAGGACACATAATATATCTAACCATCTTAGTGGAGGACACATAGTATATCTAACCTAGTCAGTGGAGGACACAGTATATCTAACCATCTTAGTAGAGGACACATGGTATATCTAGCCATCTTATTGGAGGACACATAGTATATTTAACCATCTTAGTGGAGGACACATAATATATCTAACCATCTTAGTGGAGGACACATAGCATATCTAACCTTGTCAATGGAGGACACATAGTATATCTAACCATCTTAGTGGTGAACACATAGTATATTTAAGCATCTTAGTGGATGGCACATAGTATATCTAACCATCTTAGTGGAGGACACATAGTATATTTAACCTAGTCAGTGGAGGACACATAGTATATCTAGCCATCTTATTGGAGGACACATAGTATATCTAACCATCTTAGTGGATGGCACATAGTATATCTAACCTAGTCAGTGGAGGACACATAGTATATCAAACCATTTTAGTGGAGGGCACATAGTATATCTAACCATCTCAGTGGAGGACACATAGTATATCTAACCTAGTCAGTGGAGGACACATAGTACATCTAACCATCTTAGTGTAGGACACATAGTATATCTAACCATCTTTGTGGAGGACACATAGTATATCTAACCTAGTCAGTGGAGGACACATAGTATATCTAACCATCTTAGTGAGGACACATAGTATATCTAACCATCTTAGAGTAGGACACATAGTATATCAAACCATCTTATTGGAGGACACATAGTATATCTAACCATCTTAGTGGAGGGCACATAGTATATCAAACCATCTTAGTGAGGACACATAGTATATCAAACCATCTCATTGGAGGACACATAGTACATCTAACCATCTTAGTGTAGGACACATAGTATATCTAACCAGCTTAGTGAGGACACATAGTATATCTAACCATCTTATTGGAGGGCACATAGTATATCTAACCATCTTAGTGGAGGACACATAGTACATCTAACCATCTTAGTGGAGGACACATAGTATATCTAACCACCTTAGTGGAGGACACATACTATATCTAACCACCTTAGTGGAGGACACATAGTATATCAAACCATCTTAGTGGAGGACACATAATATATCAAACCATCTTAGTCGAGGGCACATAGTATATCTAACCATCTTAGTGGAGGACACATAGTATATCAAACCATCTTAGTGGAGGACACATAATATATCAAACCATCTTAGTGGAGGACACATAGTATATCAAACCATCTTAGTGGAGGACACATAATATATCAAACCATCTTAGTGGAGGACACATAGTATATCAAACCATCTTAGTAGAGGGCACATAGTATATCTAACCATCTTAGTGGAGGACACATAGTATATCAAACCATCTTAGTCGAGGGCACATAATATATCAAACCATCTTAGTGGAGGACACATAGTACATCTAACCATCTTAGTGGAGGACACATAATATATCATACCATCTTAGTGGAGGACACATAGTATATCAAACCATCTTAGTGGAGGACACATAGTATATCTAACCATCTTAGTGGAGGACACATAGTATATCTAACCATCTTATTGGAGGACACATACCCGGTAGTATATATCCCTGTTAGTGGGCATCAGAAATTTTAACTATAGATTGTATACTTATAAACTTATTCTATCTCAAGTCTTGCACTCTCTCTCTTCAATTCAGCCTGCTGAGTGGAAATGAACTGCAAATAAAATCCATGGCATCACTTGTCCATTCATCTGTGCACGCCATGCTGCCCCCTTATAAGGATGTCTGGGATAACTCCTGGGAAGCATGCAGCACGCTCCACTACCTGCTCACGTGACGACCTGTCCCTAGTTATCCTCGTTCTTGGAGCAATGTTATAATCTGAGTAGTGGAGAGGCCGGGGCGGGCATCCATTGTGTGAGATAGGATAAGTATATAAATATACAATTTATTGTTAAAATTTCCAAATTTTTAAACTCATCCTTTCTCACGTCTTGTATTTATCTCACGGTCAGACGGCAGGCGCAGATTACTCTGGTCAGGACAGTGTGAATAGCTAACGCTGCTAACAACTGTATAGCCTATACAAAGTCAACTATAGATATGCTTGTCATGGCTCTCCAGAAGGCCTCCTAAGCATGACTCCTAAGCATGACTCCCAGTGAGATTACTTGTTCAGCCGCAGCTTCGACGAAAGGACCCTAGTAAGCTTGTCTAGTCACGGCTCTCCCCAGAAATCCTTTGGGCATCTGGCCAGCCTATGTTTCAAGACCACTCCCATCGTGACTGATGAATGCTCAAAATGACTCGAAAGCACTAAACGTGGTGACATCATCAAATGACCCTCGCGAGCCTTCATAAGCTTAGTTAAGGATGTGGTCAGACTTAATTAGGAGCAGAACTAAACGAACTTTAGGACAAGTAACTTGCCTAGTCATAGATTTACACCTCTGAAGGCCCTCAGTTAAATGAAAGCCTCTGTGGACCTTAATCTGGCCCTAGCAAACCTGTAGATCTATACCCATAAGGAAAAAGAACAAAAGAGAGACATAAAGTTCAAACTTTTGAACAAGTTCCTCATCTGAACAAGTCCCTCATTTGCGCTTGTTGGGCTGATGACAACTGCTGTCCAAGCAGAAGGGTCCAAACTGCATAAGTCCCTGGACGTCAGTAAGAGAGAGGTCTCGCATGTGAAGAGAAGACTGTCTCGGATCGCCAAAAGCGCCTCTGTGTGTGTGTGTGTGTGTGTGTAAGTTCAAAGAATCGTAGAGTGCATCCAAAAGGACATCGGCTCTGCAGGCGGTGGCAGTGTCCAGGTGAGCTAACTCATGATCCTCGATTAGGAAGGGTCAGCACATGGTGCCGATATCAGCACATGGTGCGCCTCGTCAACCAGCGGCTCTACCACGAGCTTGGAGAAACCATGAGAATGCGTAAGTGATAAGAACCTCAGTGAATTAAATCTGTCCTTAAGCTGTTTCAGACTTCTAAATGCATCATCCAATGAAGTCGTCATCTGAGATATGCAGGCTCTAGGCAGAAAGGTGATTGAGGCCACATCCCAATTCAGAATAGTATAGGAGCTGGGTAAGTCATTCACAGATGTACTCCTTGGTAGATGCAGCTTATCTACGATCCAAGCCAAAAAATGAGCAGGCTCCACCATATCGAAACTACCCTCCGGGGTAGAGACTTCGTCCAAGTAGCCAGGCGAAGGCGGTTCAGTGGAACAAACGGGTGACAGTGCCTTAGGATGCATGCGACGAAACACATGGGCGTTCATCTGCCGAACTAGGAGCTACATACGTCGAATGGGTAGGTGGCTGCATGTGAGACCAGGCGGCTGTGATCGCACGAATCATCATATCTAAATTGGGCACAGACGCAGTTGGGTTGTCCTGAGAGGAGTCCCATGACGCCGGAATAATCTGAGGTCATGCCGCTGGAGCCAGAGTGCCCGTAGGTGCAGAGTCTGTGAAGGTCATAGCAATAGACGGCCTAAGATGAGTAGGCAAAGTTAATCCATGGCAACCCGTAGCGCTAGCAGGATCTGAAGAACCATGGCGATTCGTCAAACAGGGATGATCTGTTGAATGAGAGCGGTGCGACGAACTCCATCAATCAAACAAATGGGAGTGATCCCTCGAAGCAGCAAAATTCGGCACACCAGGAGTGATCCCAGATGACTGGAAATTAGGAGAACTAACTTGATTGGACGAATCACTAATGTTCTCCAGATGAGCATGAGGGAGAGGAGAATGAAGAGGCAGTAAATCAGTACTGAAGTCCGTCTGATTCGACAAATGAGACTGACCAGGGACTGGCAAGACATCCTTCAAGGATGGATTCACCCGAATCAGTAGGGGAGTTTACCGGATGAGAAGACAACATGCTGGTCCTGAGATCTTTGAATTGGAAGTCTTCTCCAGATTTGATGACTGATCCATCACAACAACACGAGATGCATTAGAATGGACAGATGACGTCTCATTCGGGCGCAGGAGACGACAAAGGTTTTCAGATAAATGGGAGTCCGGGGAGACTTCCAGAAAATCCTCCCTCCCAGAGGCAGGTGTGAGGGAACAATGAGCTATCTTAGCAGGGCAGTGCTTCTTGGCCTTCTTGGAAGGGGAAGTGCCGTATTCTCCAGGAAGTCCCTCTCAGCGAGATGATAGGAGCCTACCCTCTTGTATGCCGCGAAAGCCTAGTCATTTAGGTGTTTACATTGGTCGCAACCGTGCCCAGGTGCAAAACCCCACACAATCAACACAAGACGTATGAGGCTCTGCAGTTGAAAACTTCTTGTTGCATTGTGTCAAAACTTCCTCTTCCTTGAGGAATTGTCAGTTTTTCCCATCTTGAAAGGAATGGAAGTGAATTCAGAAAATCTTATAGTTTGCAGCATACGTCCACACCATCAGTGCGACAAGAAAGGGAATGACTAGGGAGAGGTGGTCACGTGAGCAGGTAGCTCCATGCTTCCCAGCAGTTACCCCAGGCGTCCTTATAAGGGGGCAGCATGGATACACGGGCGAATGGACAAAAGAGGCCTAGGATTTTATTGGCAGTTCGTTTCCACTCAGCAGGTCGAATTGAAGAGAAAGAGTACAAGACGTGAGATAGGATAAGATTAAAAATTAGTATATATAACTCTGAAGAGTACATATCTATAGTATATATAACCCTGTCAGTAGAGGACACAAAAAGAATTTAGAGTTAACCCCATTGTATATAAACATGGCAGGCTTCCATTATCTTCCTAGGCTGAACAAATAGAATTTGTTGATAAAGGCAAAGTGAAGCAGTATGCCAGCCACTGAACTGAGGGATGTAAACAAGTAAGTCTGGGCCAAATTATTAGTGATTAATAACCATGAGCATTCCATGCCTTTGAATGTAATCGGTAGGCACCCAATCCATTAAGTCACCTTGTACTAAAAGCAAGGGTGCTGGGGTTTACCGATATACTAATCTGCAGTCTCCATGGGAACTGTTCCTTGATGATGCTAATGGCCATTGTGACACTCACCCGAACTACACTAAGGCGGACTTCAGCAGAGTTGGCATCATTGAGATGGTCCTGGAGCAGCTTGGTGATGAACATCTTGATGGTGAGGTTGGGCAGGAGCTCCCAGTAGCTGGACATGATGCGACACACACCTTCCACAGCGATACGCCGAGCCACGGGGTAGTCATCATACAGGGCAGTCTGTAGGGGAACAAGTTAGTTATACAACACGGTTCTACAGGATGCGACACACACCTTCCACAGCGATACGCAGAGCAACGGGGTAGTCATCGTACAGGGCCGTCTGCAGGGGAACAAGTTAGTTATACAACAGGGTTCTACAGGATGCGACACACACCTTCCACAGCGATACGCCGAGCCACAGGGTAGTCATCATACAGGGCAGTCTGTAGGGGAACAAGTTAGTTATACAACAGGGTTCTACAGGATGCGACACACACCTTCCACAGCGATACGCCGAGCCACAGGGTAGTCATCGTACAGGGCAGTCTGTAGGGGAACAAGTTAGTTATACAACAGGGTTCTACAGGATGCGACACACACCTTCCACAGCGATATGTCGAGCCACGGGGTAGTCATTGTACAGGGCTGTCTGTAGGGGAGCAAGTTAGTTATACAACAGGGTTCTACAGTATGTGACACACATCCTCCACAGCAATACTCCAAGCCACAGGGTAGTCATCGTACAGGGCTGTCTGTAGGGGAACAAGTTAGTTATACAACAGGGTTCTACAGTATGTGACACACACCTTCCACAGCGATACGCCGAGACAGGGGGTAGTCATCGTACAGGGCCGTCTGTAGGGGAACAAGTTAGTTATACAACAGGGTTCTACAGGATGCGACACACACCTTCCACAGCGATACGCCGAGCCACAGGGTAGTCATCGTACAGGGCTGTCTGTAGGGGAACAAGTTAGTTATACAACAGGGTTCTACAGGATGTGACACACACCTTCCACAGCGATACGCCGAGCCACAGGGTAGTCATCGTACAGGGCTGTCTGTAGGGGAACAAGTTAGTTATACAACAGGGTTCTACAGGATGTGACACACACCTTCCACAGCGATACGCCAAGCCACGGGGTAGTCATCGTACAGGGCTGTCTGTAGGGGAACAGGTTAGTTATACAAACGGGTTCTACAGGATGTGACACACAACCTCCACAGCGATACGCCGAGCCACGGGGTAGTCATCGTACAGGGCTGTCTGTAGTGGAACAGGTTAGTTATACAACAGGATTCTACAGGATACGACACACGCCTTCCACAGCGATATGTCGAGCCACAGGAATGCATTTTGAGGAGCATTCATACAGATTATTATGGACTAAAACAGGAAGCAAACTGCACACTGTTTAAAGATCAAAGAAGGTCCTTTGATAAAACTTCTCAAGGAACCAAGTATCCTTAATTCTGAACATCTAATTCTCCCCCTTTGTTGGCCACTTACCAGCAAAGCTTCACACTGTCTGTTGATCAGTTCATCCTTCTGTATGGGGCAGGTAAGTGGGAACACATCACACAGTAAGAAGGTAGCATTTGCCCTCACGTCACAGTTAGGTACCTACAGGGACAAAGACCCAAATAATTATTAAACTGCATACAGGGTGTCTCATGCAGCATTAAGCTGACAAAGGAAATGTTGTTACAATCAATTTTGTTTATGGGAAAATATTTCTGGATTAAGAGATTGTATTGCTTACATTCTTGTATTGCATACATTACGTATGACATTTACTAGCAGAATTAGTGAAAACAATTGACAACCTCCTGAAAACATGAAATTCTAGTTAATGTTAGGATACGTCTTACAGGAGCCCAAATACCTCCAGCTGAAGGGATAGTCAGGTGCATCCCTGTGTAACTGTCACAGTACCTCTGATGCTTATGTCAAGTTGTGCATACAAATATAGAGTCCTATGTTTACTTACACACAGTAATGAATGGGACACCAGTAATGATGCTACTTCAAGGATGTTCATCTGAGCACCTCCAGATGTGATAATGCATCCTTCAAGGGATTGCGAATTTAAACTTAGCCACAAGTTGTTGAGATACGTCCCTCAAGGATGTGGGTACTTACATTGAGCGACCTCCACAGGATGGGGTTGTACAGCTTCAGCAGCATATCAGTAACTCCTGTCTGTATCTTCTGGTTGTGTAAGTACTGCAGCAACTGAGTGGGGAGATATACACAACTTAGGCCAAACACAAAACATGTTGTGGTTCCGATTACTCCTCTTAAAAATTTAGGGTGGGAAGGTTTTAACATTTTTTTTAGAAGTAAAGTACAAACTAATAACACATTTATCAATGTGTAATTGTTTATTCAATCAAGCTTGCGGCCATCATGTCGACTTTCTTTATCAGAATGACCAATGTCCGTTAGTGCCAGGCAAAAACAATGGTATCTGAAAGCTTATTTTATTCATACCTCTAAAAAATTTAGGGTCGGCACCAGAATTCAAAGGTCGGTCGGGTAATCGGAACCACAACATTTTTTTTAGGTCTTATAGCCCACACTCACTATAACAACTTATAACCCACACTTAGTTTAACAACACATATTACCCACACAAAGTACATGTACAACAACTCATAACCCACACTAAGGATAACAACTTATAACCCACACTATGTATAACACATATTACCCACACAAAGTACATCTACAACAACGTATAACCCACACTCATTATAACACTTACAACCCACACATATTACCCACACTCAGTATAACAACTCATAACCCACACTAAGGATAACACTTACAACCCACACTATGTATAACACATATTACCCACACTCAGTATAACAACTCATAACCCACACTAAGGATAACAACTTACAACCCACACTATGGATAACACATATTATTACACAAAGTACATGTACAACAATGTATAACCCACACTCAGTATAACAACTCATAACCCACACTAAGGATAACAACTCATAACCCACACTAAGGATAACACATATCATGGGACCCTCTATTATCGTGGTAGTTAATGTTGTCGCCATCGGGATTATGAACGGTTACTGACATTTAGCATTTTATATATATTTTCAGTTGACGGATGTTTAATCTTCATTTCTGTCACAAATTATGTGACACATAGTCGCAACTCGTTTAATACCATTGCGGCAATTCCGATTGTCTCGTTTGACCCAGAAATTGAAGCAACTCTCTATTATTGCGGTATTGGTATTTTCTTACTATGGCACGCGGTACAAGCAGATGACACGGTGGAACTTTTACTAAGACAAATAACGAATCTAAATAGTTTGATCATTAAAAAATATTTAGGAATTTCATTCACATTAATTATATCATCTTGTTTTTAACCCAAACATTTGAAACTTCTTTTCATTTGGATACAAGGTAACAATAACGTTACAAGAAATTGTTTTTCCGCCTTAAAACGTACCATACAAGTTGCTGCCGTGTGTAGGGTGAAGTCGCATAATACGTCACTTCCTTGTTACATTTTTAGCAAGGAAAATATGCAAATGACCTTATAGTTGTCGCAGGATTACTCTTGACGAAGTAAGTTTTGATTCATGCTAGATGTAATGGCAGTAGGGGTCATACTAGTTTCAAAATGTTCCAGAACTTACTGAAAAGATGAATGCTTTAATATTTCTACGATTAGACATGACATTCCAATGAAATTAATGACTTTTTCAAGAGCGATGAATATATTTTACGTAATTTGCATATGAAAACAGCCGATGCGGGGCGTGGTGTTTCTGCTTTCCCGATGTTTTCGCGTGCCACGATAATAGAGAGCCCGCGATAATAGAGAGTCCCAGTTTACCTACACAAAGTACATGTACAACAACTTATAACCCACACTCAGTATAACAACTCATAACCCACATTAAGGATAACAACTCATAACCCACACTAAGGATAACAACTTATTATCCACACTATGTATAACATAGTTCGTGGTTTGACAGAATTACTGGTGCTTGTGTTCAGTTTCTTAGTGTCTGTATCACTCTCTACTTTTGAGTGGTCGACTCCTCTACATTGAGCAACATTAATACAGCATTTGGAGAGAGATTTCACAAAATCTCTAAGATTATCAACACTTAAGAGTTAGCTGTAGTGAAGATCCTTGTCATATTGAAAGTCCAAACAACATTACAATGTCAAAGTCTGCAATGTCGCACTGCGAGTAAAATCGTTATTACATGTGTGACCCATTTTATTTTGCTTTGCTAGTATTCATTTCTCTTCACTGCACACGTGGGCTCAATTAACAACACATTTTCTGTCTGTTGGATGTGAGAAGCACTAAACCCAAGAATTACTAAATAAGGTCAAAATGGCAAGTATATTGCGTCACATACCAAAGAAAAAGGATGAGTCCCATGTTATGGCATCCAGCAACAGTGAAAAGTAATGCTTTGCTATGTTCTAAAACCTATGACGTCACTGCACTGTTACCATGTTGTATGTGTAGGATAAAGCACGACTCCGAGGTTATGGTTGGGAAAGTAAGACCCGAGACCAGAGGGTGGGGAGAAGTAAGACCGAGAAGACCTGGTAAGAGGTCTTACTTACAGAAAGTAAAACCGGGAAATAGGTCTTAATTACGAAAAGTAAAACCTGGGAACAAACTAAAACCTCACATGCGGTAATTCCGGGAAAAGAAGCCATGTCTAATATATAGTGAGAAGCAGCCTTCAGGTTTATATGATGCCATCACACATTACGTCAACCAAAGTTATCTCCCCTATGAAATGCCACTTGGTATGGTTGTCCAATAAAATGCATCCTGAACCTTTTCTTTTTAAGTTGGACAGTTAGATTAAATAACAAAAATTTCAGAAACCCTACCTTACAATAAATGAAACACTCAAAAGTCAAGTACTCTACAGACAACACCCAAAGAAGGCGTACCCGTGACAACAGTGAGAATATGTTGGTTCCATCTCTTCTGGCATGGACAGCATGATTCATCAGGTTCTGAATACAGTCATTTTCAAGTTTCTGAAAAAATATATTCCACTGATCATTAAAACAACCGATAGATTTAGAACTAGGACAGTTACAACAGTAATTACTAAAGAATCCTGTGAGCATTCCACATTACTGGGTCCCAGTAAGAGGCGAGTTAATGAGGCAATCATCGTACCCTGATGATCTATGTAGATCGATGCTCATGATGTGAATCACTGGATTGACAAGTCCAGACACGATTACTTACAGACCACCATCATATAGCTGGAATAATGCTGAGTGTGGCATTAAAAAATAAACAAACAAACAAACCATGATGACATGGGAAGTTGCTCATAACATCGACCACCTGTTGTAATCTCTACTTGTTCTTTTGTTTTACCTCTAAGCAAGGCCCAGATGCCTGCTTCCATGCTCGGAAGAAAACTTCCCCATAGAACGTACTCATGTCCCTGTGGATGAAAGGGAAACTTCAGTAATACAGGCACTTCTGTAATAAAGGTCTTGGTTTGTCACAAAGGATCAGGTAAATGCCTTTGTTCTCATAAACATTAACGACATTTCTTTCTGTACTCCCTCTTACAATATATCATAGCACTGTAAGAATATCGTAAAACTAAGTTAAAATGAGGGCGTTATGACACAAATCAATCACTTTATGGTAAAGGGACTGGGTATGGTTCTGTAAAGTTCAGTTGTAGCCAATACAAAATGTTTTGAAAGTTAATCCAAATGCTAAATAGACAGCTGCCATTTTTGTTTTGATAATTTCCTATGGCAGGATCAAATCTGACTTTTTATTCAGAATGGATACTTTTACGTTACACAGAACAGGGAGAAAATCACATTTTCCTTGGGCAAGGTTCCTTCTTAGCCTCGGACTCTAGAATAAAAGAGCCTAGCTGTATGGCTACATTACACAGAACAGGGAGATAATCACAGTCATGTTAGTGAAGAGTGTTGAGTGAACCTTACCTTGTTGATCCAGGGAAGAATTCTTTAAACCTCACATAAAGCTGACCTGTGAACTCTGGAGAAATGTTGAAGAGGAAGGCCAGAAACTTTCTACCCTAAAAACATGAACGTGTCCAGATACCATTGCAATTTGCTGGGAGAGTTTCCAAGTGATAAAAAACTTTTTCATCTTTAATGTTAAGATGGTACACAATCAACTAGATTATCAATACTGCAAAATAACCAGTAGAAAATACATAGAAGTAAATCATTTATTCTCATTCTTCACCCTTGGACAGAAGGGCCCAGTGATGTAAGGTATCCCATTCTGTCCAGAGTAACCTCCCTTAGACATACCAGGATCAAGTGATTTTGTGTCCTAATTCCCAATGAGTTTGTCAGCTTCATGATCAGAGTTGAAATTCAGCATGAATGTAGGATGTCATTGTCATAATCTTGATCTTTAACAACCAAGATTTTGAAGTACCTTGACTCAAACACTGTACATCAGAATGCCAACCATCTATGACCACTTTTAATATCTGAATACCCTTGACTTTCATCCATGTGAAAACATTAATCCATATAAATACTTGTGCTGTTATATCCAACCAGAAGACTGTTCAATGTGATATAAATCCCAACTCACTGAGCAGAGGCGGACACAGCTTTTTGACAAAGGTGGGATGCACAGTTCATTTTCACTGTTTTCACAAGAGTTTCAAGGGTCATTTAATAAACTTTGAGGACAAAAGTGTGGTGTGCACCCCAGTAACCCCCTCTGGATCCGCCTATGCTGAGTGAGTGTTTGATTTAAAACTGCTTTGAACTGTTCGCAGGGTATATCAGTGCATCATCATGCTGTTATATGCAACTAAAATACTGTTCAATGTGATGTAAATCCAAACTCACTGAGTGAGTGTGTTTGATTTAACACTGCTTTGAACAGAGTATATCACGGCATGTCAGCTTAGAAGAGGAGATGGAGACATTCGCTGTTTCGATGAAACCCGCAAGCACAGATATGGCGCTGACAAACCTGGAAATATCATCCAGGAGAACAGTGAATCAAACCCATGATCATAGGTTTCTGGCAAGTCCAGAGGATGCAACTCAGCAGGGCCAAAAGCAGCACTTAGACAACACTTTGTCAGTTGGACCCCCTTCCCAACCCAAACTGTTGCTCCCCCGACTACTAAATACACTTACTATAACCGAGCGATCTGGAATCATGGACAACTATATGCTTGGATCAGACTTACGTCAGGTTCACGGAGAAAAGGCTTGGCTGCCACACAAGCAAGCAGCCTCTGTTTGAATGACTCCATCTCATCATTGTCCCAGTTGATAAGCAGGACTGCTTCATGCATGGCCCACACACGCTTCACCTTGACAGCCTGCAACAAGTACATGCAGAGGTAGTGTTGATTCCAATTCCATAAAACTTGTAAAAGGTGGTGTCATCAGCACAGATGCAACAAATCCACTATTAGCAGAGATGCCAACCCTGAATCTAAGAAAAAACGGAGTCATGACTGGCTGAAAGCCAGGCCTGAGCACCAAAGGTGCGAGTTGGGCTCTGCCATTTTGTTTCACTTTCATATGGACATGCATTCGGGAAAAACTTCATCGTCAATAACACTTAATATGGTTTAAACATATTTATTTCCAAAGAAGGGAACCGGATTGGTAAACAAGCATAAGCTTATATGAATACCGCTCCGGGATACAATGGAAGGAAGAGTAAACATGTCATAATGAATGTACAATGTGAATGATTATATAAATATTGCAAAAAACGAGAAATAACGCCAATCATTGTTAAACAGTATACTTAATATACACAATCGACACCCAAATGATCACATGCTAAGCTTCTGAATGCTTTTACCAGTGTTCACTCAAATATACAGTAAAAATAAATGCAGAATTGTTTCTAAAAAATAGGAGTTTTTTAAAGAGAAATCGGAGAGCAGATTTTGTATTTGAAAATCAGAGTAACTCCGCCAAATTCAGAGTAGTATAGCATCTCTGTATTAGGTGAATATAGAGTAACAAATGCAATTTGCAAATAATTTTCTCGAATTACAAAGCACATGACAAGGTGATTTTTCATTCATTATATTGAGTCACTATGGTTTTATGCCACTTTTGGCAATATCCCAACACGAGACACCAGAAATGGACTTCACACATTGTACCAATGCAGGGAATCGAACCCTGGTCTTTGGTGTGACAAGCGAACACTTTAACCACGAGGCTATCCCACCGCCCCTCATTACATTGAGTCAAATAATAACATAAATCGTCTGACCTGCTTTGACCATGGTAACAGGGTTAATTTGTCTTAACAATGACCAGTGACCACATTGCCTCTTAATGAAATATACAGGGATGGCAACAGGAAAATCTATTTACAGCTGAAAACTTAATATTGTGTCATCGAATGGGAGGGTTTCAATTGATCAATTTGAAATAAAATCCACTGATCAGCAGAAACTTGCCATCCCTGAATATAAATGCCTGCTGACTGTTATCCTTCCATTTTGCATATCTTGTCTTTGGTAAGCAACAATTCCAATAGAAAAACTTTCAGGAATATTTGTTTGAGTGATCACAAACAACAAATGGTACTCAGGGCTCCAGATAATTTTTCAACATCAGGAGTACGTACTCCTTATTTTTTCAATACAGGAGTACTGGAAAACCTTAAGAGTACATTAAGAGTAATGAATGGAATTTAATGGAGTATCAGTAATCGTGTGTTTCGTTTCATATATGCACCACAACATCGTTACTCTTGTGTAAACAGGTCAATAAACAATAAAACAATATTGTTTCAGATAAATACGTCTGTAAATGATTTGAAGACAGTACACCATTGCTGTGGTGCGTATCTGCTACATTTTCTAAATTATTTCCTACCGTATCGTGCATATTTTTTATCCGTACATACGCCAATACGGCCCTTATCTGGAGACCCGGGTACCAGTTAACAACTGGACTCCAAAAACTAACGAACAGGATGGAGTAACTGATTCTGAGTGCCTGAAAAACTCCTGTATTACTTACCGTAACTTTCTCAGCAGCTTGAGCACTCTCCAAGAAGAAGTGGAGTGTGTTGACGGCAACCTCCTCCTTCCCCTCCAGACCCCGGCGCCACCACACCTCTAGCAGCTGTGCAATGTCGCTACGCAGGCCAAGCGCCTCCTCTGGCAGAGACATCAGCACACCTGCAGCCCAGCAATACAGGCACTAAGTGGGAATGAATGTTGTGTTATGCTTTAGTCAGCATTGTGAGTGATTGAGTGGGTTTGAGTGAGTGAGTTTTTATGTTGCTTTCAGTCATATTTCAGCAATATCTTAGTTGAAATGCAGGGGTGGAAATAACCCATTGCCCGACGTCTGAGTCCTGTGTTTTTTTCTGTCAGGCAAGCAAATTTATACAGGTCCCCAGTTGACTTTCCAATGTTAATTATGTTGTTTATTTAAAAAATCAACAAGAAAACGGCTGGTATAGTGGAAAAATTATCAGGGCAAGTGATTTTACATGTGCCACGGTACCGGAGTACACTAGCAATTTTAAAGTTATTTTTCCACCCCTGGAAATGGGTGTTACACATTGTCCACACACATGGATTCGAACCAGGGTCTTCAGTGCTACAAGAAAACCCTTTAACTACAACTCTACCTCACCCCCACAGGCAATATCATGGCGGCCTGTAAATAAATTAATCTAGCCATCACTCACCATGAAGAAGGACTGCAGTTTCGAAAAGACAAGGTGGAACTGGGTCCTTTTCATTGTGCAAGGTAGCCCGGGCGATGAATACCACACACTCCAGTAAGGAAAATGTGTGGCTCATTTTCTGTAAAGAGGAGTATGTAACTGTAAGCTATATAGTGCAACTCAGGTCAACGGTTTCAGGCAAACATTGTTGAGATAGATAAATTGTGATGATAATCCATTTTCACAAAGATGTAAGTTCATGTAAGAAAAGTGGCCAATAACACAGGAACTGGCACTACAGTAATACAGACAAATAACAAGTAACACAACTAGACATCTGATGCACCCTTACATCAAGGGACAGTTGCATGTAACATTGTCATTACCAGATGCTGCCATTCAATGCTAACTGTCACCCGTTTGCAAGAAAGTAAAAATACGTCCTCACTTTTCATGAAAATAAAGGCAATATTCAATCAATCTTGTGGCCTAAACTCTATATTTCATCATGTGACCTGACAAGCAATCCCCAGCCATATCATACCAAACAGACATTAAACTATGGTACTCGTTGTTCCCTGCCTGGTGCTCAGCATTAATGGGTAAAACAAGGACTGGTTGGCTCAGACTAGAGTCAGTATAAGGTGACTGAGTGGGATTATTTAAAGGTCACATGCAACCAAAAAATCAAACACAATTATTACTTATTCATGACATATAATATACATTGCTGGTTATGAAAAAACATATAAACAAAATTATAAGCGTACAATCGCAAATCAAAAGTGCAATATTGTGTACTTGGGTTTACTTCCCAAGAAACGAAGCAGCCGGGATACCAAACCCCGTCAGAGCGGGTGGGTGTGCACTCAAGTGTAACGGCTGCTTCATTTGCAGATGCCCACACGGCTCATTGTGTGTGTATATATATATAGAGAGATGTTGGGTTTTGTAAATACATGCTCATTTTTTGTGTATAACATTTTACAATCAACAGACATCATAACATGTCATGTGTTCAAGTATCACACCTGCCTGTCTGTGTAATTACATAATGTGACAGAGACCGAACTCGGGCCATAAATCAATGCATTTTGTTTATGGTGTATAGCCTGATTGGTGTTAAGTTCAAATTGCATGTGGTCAGTGATAGCAGCTGTGTATTGAATATTGTCATTAGCAGACAGGCAGGTAGACACACAGGTGTCAATAAAACAAGACATTGAGTTTTGTCTGTGACAACAACATATCTATATCACAGTTAGAAATTCTGTCAACGCTAAATAATGACATGGCTTTTAAGTATCGAACTGAGAAAGTGACTCGGTAAGAAGAACGTGTGGTGAAATAGACAAATGAAATTATATAAACAGTTAATTTACTATCATAACATATAAAAAGCTCGCACCTGTGAGATATCAACAAACATGGACTTACTGAAACAAATCATCAAAAATGCAAATTCAACTTATTAAGTTGAAAAATAACGAGATGAAAAAAAACCTTGCGAAATCGGAGTTCAAGCGATTCACTAATTTTCCCCAAGCGCTTGGGGGAAAAGTGGTTTCAACAGCTGCGCTGGGCTGCACTCATGTACACATGACATGTTATGATGTCTGTTGATTGTAAAATGTTGCATGTATTTACAAAACCCAACATCTCTATATATACACACACAATGAGCTGTGAGGGCATCTGCAAATGAACCAGCCGTTACACTTGAGTGCACACCCACCCGCTCTGACTGGGTTCGGTATCCCGGCTGCTTCGTTTCTTGGGAAGTAAACCCAAGTACAAAATATTGCACTTTTGATTTGCGATTGTACGCTTATAATTTTGTTTATATGTTTTTTCATAATCAGCAATGTATATTATGTCATGAATAAGTGGTAATTGTGTTTTGATTATGTTTCATTTTTTGGTTGCATGTGACCTTTAAGCACGACATTAAACCCTAGTTCACTTCACCTGACAAGCAAACAATTTGGTGTGGTATTTTTTATTTCAGAAATCAGCTTTATGATCCATGCCACAACACTTTATTAAGCCAAACATATTTAAATTTACAAGCAAGGATTTTCACAGTTTAAGTAGCAAAACAGAGTGTAAATGAATTGATAAATTAATAACAGTAACAATACTTCTTGCTACAACTACACCAGGCAAAGGGCAGAACAATAATTTGGAGACGAGATCAAGAAAGACAACTCATATACTTCTTCATCTTCATCCAGACTCATGATGGCCTCTGTCGTCATGGAGTACAGTTCCGTCCACATATCACTGACATCTCGCTGCTGACAAGATGACAATGTCTCTCGCAGTTTTCTTGCTTTCTGATTTTTCTGAAGAATAAATTAAAGAAAATAATAACCCCCATGAAGTTTTAATTATTAACATTCTCACTGGTCCGCTAGCCCGTGGCTAGTAAAAATCCAATCGGCCCAGTACATCTCCAGTCACTGGGCCGACTGGCTAGTGAATTTTCATGGGGTTATTTTGTAAATATATCACTCTCTACGGCTTGTTAAGTTATAATACACTTTTAATTCATGCAAGATTATTGCCTGATACAAATGTTCATCATATTAGAAACATAATGATGAAACCCGGGTCTACATTCAATTTTGAGCAAGTGAATTATTTTGTGAGCTAGTAACTTTCAGGCATAGCTAGCCAACTTGGCTTGCAAAATTTGGAAACTATTTTGCACAATGTTAAAGTTAAAGTCCATTTCACTTCCCCTGTAACGATGTCATCAAAGTTTGCCAAAATCTTACATTGGATTCACTTGATATGAACGAGATGATTCCATCTGCATTTTTCTTCTCACAAAGGGAGAACAACTCTGTGCTTGGCATGATGACTTCTGGAACATAACATAATTTTTATGAATATGTTAGTACACAGAGCTTTACCTTTCTCCCACAAGAGTGAGTGAGTGAGTTTAGTTTTACGGCACTTTTAGCAATATTCCAGCAATATCACCACGAGGGACACCAGAAATGGGCTTCGTACCCACGTGGGGACTCGAACCCACAAGACTGCAAGGAAGTCAATGTTATCATAATTCACAAATTTGAACTTGAAACCATTCTAATTTATTTCAATATAGACTTGTAATTATGGCCTGTTGGCTAGGAGGAAAGCACAAAGATATGCAGGTCCCATATGTTGACCACTTTGGTAAAACCCATTAGCATGGTCTTGGTGACAATCAATGCAAACACAGGATTTGAATCCCAAACCACACACAGGCTTCTTGCACACCTTGCTGATGAACAAATTGCAACTTTATGTAAAATGTCTCTGTCAAAGCACCTTTCACCTGTTGACTTGTGAGACTGCACAATTGAAATTGTAGTTTGCTTTTAATACAACGCACTAAGCAATATTCCAGCTATGCGATGGTGGTCTGTAAATAATTGACTGGAAAAGCCGAGAGCTGCGATGTCATGTCTTGACTGTATTATGTATAGGACCGCAGGTAAGAGTTCTTCCTGTTTCCCCATCCCTATATATATAAATATATCGTGGATACTAAAACTATTAACAAAACTTAACACAACAATTGCTAGAGAACTCACAAAATGACTAAAAGTCCAAAATTTAAGTTAGGATTAGGTTTAGAGTAGGGGGAACGGAAGGAACTTTTTCCGGACCGCATCGTGGCTCTCGGCTAACTCTGTACCAGACAGTCCACATCAACATCATGAGCATCGGTAAAGTGCACTACTCCCCATCCATTGACTGGGATGGCATGCATCAGGTGCCACATACCAGCGTATCGATATCGGTATATGGTCTCTGCATGCATCAATCAATAGTCTCTCGTACAGACCCCGAAGCAAATATACCCAAGAAAGCCCACACAAGTCTAGAAAATCTGAAAATGAAGAAAGTCTCAGGGCTGCTTTTCATTATATATATATTTTTTTTACTATGAACTTTTTTCAGTAAAATATGTTCATTTCAGAGACTAGTTGTTAGTCTAATCAATCAACAGCTGATCAAGTTAGTCCGGCATATAACTAAACGACTTTGCACTAAACTTTGGCTAGAATACGAGTTTATTTAATAATATTTATATGCACTACAATCAAGCCAGCGAGCCTGTCTACCCGATCCCGTTATTCGCCCCACCCATTTAGCTTTCAAAAAGTTACATTACAAGACGTGATCATCAGTGTCATAACGTCATAGCAGCCTCTCACTGGTTGACAAATCGAATCGATTAGATCGACACATTCAAATTTGACCACATTGGTTTCGGAAAGTACCTCTTTGCTCTTGAATTTTTGCGCCACAATATTATGATCTCGTCTTTTCTCGTACACAGACGAGATTTTTTTGTATGTGACTGGGCTCCTGTCTACCAAACTGCGCGGCGCTTACCAACGGTAGAACCATTCGTGACCAACTCGTGTCATTCCGGGACAAGCCGAATAGCGGTTACGGAAAGGGGCGAGTGGTGACGAATGCGGTAGAACCTATTCTGCATTTCTTAATACAACTTATGTTATATGCATCAGTTTTTTGTTCCATTTGGAATATCCATAAATAATATGCACAACACATACAGTGTTGTTGGTACGGTTTTGTTACAAAAATATGTTTTTCCCGAAATAACGTTTTGGATATGCTAAATAACAAAAACGGTAAGCGGTAAAGCTTATACATTTTATTTGCTTGAGGCAAATAGCATATGATTCAATTATCGCGGTGAGGAGTTCGCACTTACATAATGTATTTCATCGCACGCTTTCGTGTTCCTAAACATGCGAAAACGAGTAAACGTGAATGGAAATGGCTACACGATTAAACTGTGCTTAAATCCTTAAATGAAGACATTTTCGTCAGTTACAGTTACTAGCCGAGGGGAAGTATGACGCAGTGTGACCAACTGAGTGATTCTTTGGAACATCTATCTATCTATCTATCTATCTATCTATCTATCTATCTATCTATCTATCTATCTATCTATCTATCTATTCTGAAATCAGTTTATTAACGAAGAACGGGAGGTACGGGAGTATTCCCTAATGTGGATTTCCCAATGCGAATATATGAGCTCTGCCATTGTCGTGATTGTTGGATCGGCGTCATATAAAACCGCCTATCACGTCATGAACAATGGATGACATAAGACAGACAGACAATACTTTATTACCTTAAAATGAATTCATTTTGGTTCACAGAGCTTGACAAAAATACAAATGAAGAACAACATAAAATATGACATTACTAAAAACATAAAAAGAAATAAATATGTGCTTAAATAGAAATAAATGAATAAGATGAAAGCTGGACATTCAACATTTGTTTAAAATTGTAATACTTTGAGGTACAAACGACGTTCGAGCTCGTTTAGTCTTGGTGATTGGTACTATATAGCGGCGGCCCGAAGGTAAAAGCTTATACTCTTGATTTCATTAATGATTTTTCAGTCGTTGAGTACTTTGCCGCTCATAGAGAAGTGAAAGATTATCGAAAGTGACCCCGGCTATTTTACTAGTTGTATTTACAATTTTGTTAAGTTTTGATGTGTTTTTGACTTAAAGAGACTCGAACCAGCACTGAGAAGAAAAAGTGAGTATACTCTGAATAAAAGTGGTATAAAACAACATCATAACAGATTGGGAAACATTAGAAGATCGCAGTTTGTGCATTAGATGGAGGCGTTGTCGACATTTACTATACAGGGCATCTGTGTTGGTGTTCCACGTTAACCTGTTATCAATAAAAGTTCCAAGGTACTTGTACAGTGACTGTCTCAATTGGTTCATCATTAATGAACAAAGGTGGTACAGTTGGGGAGTTAGTTCTGAAATCAATACAGAGTTCTTTTGTCTTTTTCACATTTAAAATCAAATGATTCTCTGTACACCATGATGTGAAATTCTTTACATTATCTCTGTATCGTCGTTCTGATTCATAATCATACATCTGACCAACAATGGCTGCATCATCAGCAAACTTCACATTTATACAGTTATTTTCTACGCTAGTGCAGTCATTGGTGTATAGAGTGAACAGGACTGGTGACATAACGCAACCTTGCGGCACTCCTGCATTGACAACCTTCATGTCCGATACACTGTCGTTAACTTTCACACACTGAAATCTTGCATGGAGGAAATCTCCGACCCATCGAATCAGTTGTGAATTCACTCCCATAGTTTGCAGATTTCTTACCGTGACGTGGGGTTGGATCGTGTTGAAGGCTGAAGAGAAGTCAACGAACAGTGTTCTAAGGTAGGACTTGGGAGTCTCGGCTTGTATACGTTGTTGAGAAGAAAGAGTGTGGCGTCAACAACTCCGCGCTTGGATCTGTATGCGAACTGTAGAGGGTCAAGTAGATGGTTTACTTCTGTCTTCAGAAACATCAAAACGATGCGCTCGAGACACTTCATAGCTATGGAGGTTAATGCGACTGGCAGATAATCATTTAGTTCTTATGGCTTGCTTGACGTTGTTATATATAGAGGGAATCTCATCCAAGTGTCTCGGCAAGCCTCGGATATTTGTAACTTTATCAACTCGTGTTGATATATTTGATATCAGAAGACACGAGGGTGAGATTCTATTAAACATCAAAATCACTCTTCATTAGTTTTCAATTAAAAATGTACATCTCTGAACACGGTACTGCCATTAGACTTGCAGTGCAGCGATGTCATAGCATTGTGACGTCATCAGGTTTTTGACGCCATATCATTGTGACGTCATCAGGTTTTTGCACGTCAAGGCATTGTGAGTTACGTAAACATTTTATCGTGTTGTTACTCTTTGCAAGAAAGAAAAGTGTAAAGAAAGAAAGAAATCTGTGTACGAAATGAACACTGTATGGCATCCAGTGTACTGCACAGAGGCATCCCGAATACCCCTTAACTATAAAAGCATTTAACATACTGTATATTGAGGTAAGGTGTGACTGAGCATGTTTTCAGCAAATGTTCCTGCAATATCACGGGAGGGGACATCAAGCTTGCTTCTTTTGTTCAACGCTCAGCAGTATTCCAGCTGTATGACGGCGGTCTGTAGAAAAGGACAAGACAATCCAGTGATCTACAGTATGAGCATCTATCTCACTGTTTGGATACGATGACACGTGGCAACAATGTCGTCGAGCCTGATTACCTCTTTCGACAAGCATATGGGCTGCAACGTTAACCAATCCTAACCCGGATCTTCACGGGGAATCGAACCCACGACGAGCCAACTTACTCAGCAAAATTCGCCCAAAATTCATGTAGAGAATGTTATACGATTCATCATGTCAAGAAAACTTGCCCTCTACAATGTTGTAATGATGCTTGTGACACATGTAGCAAACTATCTTGTGTTTTGCACTTGTTCTTAACCCAAGAACGTCGTTCTCAAATCAGGAACAATCACTAAAACGCTGTCACGGGAAGCGCTTGCGCTCTCTTTAAGTGAACGCGGTGTTGTGAGTTTACACGAGTCACCTGCCTTGGAAACTGCCTTGACAAACAGGGAAGAGCCACCCAGCCGAGAAATGTGACCCCAATAGCCCCTGATCTTCGAGGGTGGTGCTGGGGTGGATCATGGACCACATAATTGGGTGTTCTCGGTTCGGAGCATGAGAGCTGGCGACGGATTGCAAGATAGACGGCTAACAAGTTCATGTGTGTCTTACAGGTGACACACGTGTTTTGCAAATGAGGAAGTAAAAAGTAAGTTCCTATTATGAATAACAAATAATTGTTGTTGAGGTATTTTTCTCTGATTACTGGAAGTTGTTGTCGGTTCATTCAGGTGGAAATGTCACCTTCACCCTTGGTTGATTGTGTTCCTAACGACTGTCATATATTTTGCTGATACCTAGTGACAACTCTTTTTATCAACTGGTGGTGATGTTCACTGCCGCATATTTTACATAGTTTTTAGGGTTGGGTATTGCCAAACTCTCAGAAGTGCGATATGTGTCGGCGTATTGCAATATGTATTGCAATATATTGTGAAAGTGTAACACATGGTTTAAGGTAATAAGATTGCTGTTTCCTTTCTTTTGAAACAATGTCACTGACCACTATCAGGACTTAGATGTGATTGTACAAGAGATCAATTGAAAATGATTCCAAATTGAAGACTTTGCTCTAAAGTTTGGAACTCGATAAAAAGCGTCTGCAGCAGAGTCCGCCATATTGGCTGGTATATCCGTACAATGAGTGCCGGTACCAATCTATTTTTATTTATTTATATGGTTTAAAAGTCACTGAAATGCAATTATATGACCAATAAACTTACCTGAACTTGAGGTTCAAGGTTTTTAGTTTGTGCATGCAGAAAATGAATAGATCTTTTGGTGTCAAATATTTCAATATGTGACCATAAATATTTTATCCAAGCATTAAGTGAAGAAGTTACCAAAATACAACAAATCCACCTCACTGACGAGGACTGTGATGTCATGGTTACCGATAATGAATGTCATAATCGCCTGAATAGCTTTGAGATGCAGTTTCATTAAAATGATATCTTCTGTATGTGCATGCAGGGGGGAGATACAGGCTAACGACAAAGAAGGGTAGCAGAGTGGTTAAAATGTTAACTTGTTAAGCTGAAGACCCAGGTTTCATTCCCCACATGGCTGCAATGCATTATGTCAGTTTCTGGTGTCCAGCTCCATGATATTTCTTGAATATTGTTATACTTTTATTTTATTGACAGAACAACACTGTTCGGATTGTTAAAGAGTACATTCACTCTTACTCTTGTGGAAGTAAATGGGTGATAGAAATGGTGTCTTCGATCTATTTTGTCTATAAATGAGTCCTGATTCAGTGACTTACACTTACACTTATTTGTCTATTTTACAAATTCTGTGAAGTCTGTTAAGTAATTTCGCATTCTTCACCTACAGCATAATAAATGTGAATGGGACCACTGTGAATGCCTTGTTGCAGGGATTGGTTCTTTGTAGGCTTTGCACAGCATCATGTTTATGATATTCAAATGATCCGTGTTTATTATTGTATTGTAGGTCTGTCTCAGGTATTATGCAGTTATCAGTAGAAGGTAGTGGTGTTCGCATTAATTGAAATGATCGAAGACTGGTCTCAGTGGCCAAACAACCAAGCAATCGATCACATTTGCTCATGATCGAACACAAATGATTTTGCAACTTTTGTTTTATTGTTTGAAACACTTGACGATGGAACGTATCTTAGAAGTTGTCAGAGCCTGAAAACGTGTTTAATTCTTAGAAAACTCACTTCACTTACTGAAAAGTCATGACTGAATATTCCTTGAAGACTGTGGGAAGTTAATGTTTGTGATATATTAGTCATCACTTTTAAGTAGCAAGTTGGATCAGTTTACATTGGATGTGAAATTTGCTAATGCAATTTGCACAGTTTCTAAATAAAACAGAAAATAACAGAGAACCAAGTTATACTTATCGGCAATAACAATCTGAAAAGGAAAATCTGAAAAATGACGCTAACCAATTTTTTTTGGATGATTGCTTGTTGGTAATGAACCAATTATCAATTTTGAGATTTCAACCAATTCCCAACACTAGTAGAAGTAACATGTGACCAAGTGGAAGTGACAGCTGCAGAATCAGTGTTCATTCTAGGCTGCACCCTTGCGTCATTCACGCACTAATGTTTAACATGGCGCACTGTACAGATACAGGCAGGTCGTGTCAACACATCCATAAATGTAAGTCTGAAACACATCACTATTTTGTTTTCACTTGGCAACTCAAGCAAAACTTAAGCATGCTTCTTGTTGACCTCACCTGAACTACAGTGAATCGCTAAAAATAGACAGCAATTTTCTAAATGACTCACATAACTGAGGGCTGGTGGGCCATGGGTTCACTTTTTAGAAATGCTTGAATGAACACTGCAGAATTGACACTGGTCGTCAGTTCGAAATTTCCGTCCTCCTTGGCAACCAACTAAGTTGTTACTTTAATGTTTGAAATGCAAAGGCTTTATTCATTTTCCTCTGATGGAAATAACTAACTTGAAAATGCCATCTTCCACTTTATTCGAATCTCAGGTCCTCAACTTATATACTGATTAACTCATTGAGGTACCCTTCTAGAGATGATATAACATTTCATAACAGTAAATATGACCCCAATCTCATTTGATTGTGCTTAACAAATAAAAAGAAGACTTCATGCTTTTCAAATTGCCTTATTAACACCATTATTCCATTGCAGACATGTAGGTATTGATTATCGTGTCTTCCCCAGGATAAAAAAAAGGCAGGGTGACAGAATTTCAAAAGGGGACCCTTATTCCAAGAGGGCAAGCTGTGACAGATTTCCAAGTATTATGTTGAGTTATCGATGCATATGATTCTTAAAGACTCAAAGAGCACAGTTATTTCACTTAATTTCAGCATGAAATAGAAACTAGAACCACCAAGTGTTGATATCAATTATTGTATCAAAAAAGGACAGGGGGGCAAATGAAAAGAACAGGGTGCTGCACCCTAGTAAAAATGCCTAGGGCAAACACTATATTATAAGTATATAGTGTCGTCAACTCTTGACAAGACCGGGCAGTGGGGTAGCCGAGTGGTTAAAGCCTTCACTCTTCACACCGAAGGCTGGGTTCGATTCCTCACAGGGGTACAATGTGCAGAGGTACAGATAAGCTGCGTATCTGCGTAAATTACGCAAATGTTTATGAGAAAACTCAATTCCTATTAAGTCTGTTGCGTACAAGTACGCTTGGAGTTTGGTAAATACCCAATAAATGTGATCTTACATGCGTACAAACAAAAATGTCAAATCTTAGCTTGCGTACCGGTGGATAAAATATAATAACTCTGGTATACTGAGAGGTTCTATTTCAGTACATGAACTTGACAACCTGCAGTCTTTCTTATCGTTCTCATATTACAGATCAAATATAAATAACAAACACTAACATTTAAACTTTTTTTATATTTGTAAAATTAATGGAAAATGGAAAAATACCCAATTGAGTTTGAGTGAGGTGAGTACAATTTATTTGGTTACTCAAAGGAAAATTAGAATACCCAATTGAGATGAACACAAGCGAGTACATAACTCAGTGATCCAAAACGTTACCTGTAGCTCTGAATGTGTGAAGACCATTTCTAGTGTACCCTGCTGTGATATTGCTGGAATATTACTAAAAGCGGCATAAAACCATTGTCAGTCAGCTTTGACAAGACCCCTTACTTGTTGCACGGTTATCTGCTTAATTGTTGACTGGATTTCTGACATGTGTAATTCATCTTGTTCTGAAGCTCAGAGCAAACGTCTTGAAATATGTGCTTATGTTTCAGTGAACCTGAAAATGTGTTTCCAATATCAAATAAAACTTCCAAGACATATTCAGACATGTATTTCCAACCTTGACACATTGAATATCCTCGAGTAGTATGAATATCTTTGATCCATTATACTCGCTGAAAGCCTGTCATGTGACCAAGTTTAGTTAAATAGAATAAACTGCGAAGTGGTGCACCCATATTGACTTACCCATTTAGAACATGATGTGTAAATAGAAGGGACAATGTATGTTCTACAACTGTGAACTAAAAACAAGCCAGACAGGTGTTTCATGATTTCATCACGGTGTCTGATCATTATTTGACTCCTGAATGTAATTAGGTACCTATTGAATAATTGATACCTGACTACAATTTGATACCTTGTAATTATTTGATACCTAATATTTGATAACTTAGCATTATTTGATACCTGCCTAGTATTTGATACTTAATATTTGAGAACTGAATGTTATGTGACACCTGTGATTATTACATACCTGACAATTTTTGATATCTAATATTTGATAACTAAGCATTATTTGATACCTTGTAATTATTTGATACCTAATATTTGATAACTTAGCATTATTTGATACCTGTTTTGTATTTGCAACCTAATATTTGATAACTGAGAAGTATTTAATACCTGTTGACTAATTAATTCCTGTTGACTATTTACTACCTATTGACTATTTAATACCTAAGCATTATTTTATTATTGATCATCCTTTAATACCTGAGCATTATTTAATACCTTTACTGTACCTCTGAACAAGGTTCAACTGATCTAGCTGATTATCATTTCACAATAGATCATCATTCGATCTGGATCTTTTAATTTATTTATTTTCAGTAGGATCTTTTAATTTATTCATCTTCAGTAGATATATTTGACAAATTTGGAAAGCATGATTATTTTGTTTATTACTGGGCTTTCTTCAGAGTTTTTACTATTTTGATAAACATGTATTATGATCAGGTATGTTCACTTCATGATTGCGTTCAGTACAATGATATAACAGAGTAAAAACCTTTCTTCATTTTTCATGGTCATTTTGTTAGTGAAATAAAGTCACTTAGACAAGGAAATATCATTAGCAATGTTATAATGGCATGAATAGGAAAACATTTAATTCCGCTCCAGAAAAGAGACATATCAGAAAGAGAGAATACTTATCACAATTTATTTTGTTTCACATTTATGAATGTTCAGTTGTTGTGAATTTATTAAGCTAGCATTTAAAGAGCAAACTGGGATAATAAAATGTAAATGAGAACAAGAATTACTCATACATGTTTAGACAAAATTCATACCATATCTACCCAATCTATTGTGTTCTACTATTTTCCTGGCAACTGACCAGAAGTGTTCTCACAACAGAGGAAGATTATCTCCTTTAGAATCAAT